CTGGTTTTGTTAATATGGTGATTACGTTTACTTCTAGGCTTGTATGTACTCAGGTATAATGAGAATGGTAAGATCAAGTCTTAATGAAGAGAAACTGTAAACCCAAAGTGGCTCTGAAGTTCCTGATAGTTCACATGTGCACACGTGTTCCAAACTATTGACAAAGGTTTATTTACTCTTTGACTAGCATAAGTACTGCTCCTATTATTTCATTAAATCATTCTGCAATTAAAGGAACACTTTTGGGAAAAAAAAAATCCTACTTAACTACAGCCAGGATGATAGGCATCAGACTGTATCAACAACAGGTATTTGCATCCAAGAGCCCTGACAATATCCCTTCACTTTTTGTTTTGTTTAAAGCGACTGCAAGTAAAGTTCTGACTGTAAATTGATACCATTAACTTGAAATCTAGTGTTTTAAAAAATTCAGTAGAAGTTTCAGATAGTTACACCTATCCCAAACTCCCCTGGCCAATTTTTGTGGTATGCTTTTGGCCTGTTTTCTATCCCTTACGTTTTGTCATAGTTCATTTGTCATAATAGTTGCAAGTGGGCATGCAAGTTTAGAGTGCTAGGGATGGTATGGTGATAGGTGCCTTCGAGATAGGAAGCAGCTCAGAAATAGTTCCTTTAAAACGTGTCAAATACATTTTGCAGCTTGTACATGCTGCAAAGTTCTTCCCAAAACTCTGATAAATGGGATTAATGGCTAGTGCACAGAGAAGATGCAAGAGTCAGAGTTTAAGGAGTTCTGGGTTCTACTCTTTCTGTCACTGATTTGTTGAGTAACTTTGAGCAAGACAATCTCTCTGGGCCTCAGTTTCTGCATGTGTAAAATAGGGACAATAATACCTCTCTGACTCACCGGGATGTTGAGCGCTTAATTTATTAAACTGCAGAGTGCTTTGAGATCCTGGAATGAAAAGCATTAAGGGGCGCAAAGTATTATTGTAATAAATGACACACTTAATATAAGAGGACACCAACCATAATAAGTGGTGTCTTAAATAAGCCCATGTATAAATTCTTCATGTTGGCTATTTCGATTCATCCATTGACAACCAGTGGAACTCCTGAGAAAAGATTGAGAGTTAAGAATTAAATTAGTAATTTTAATCTGAGAACATAGTCAAGGTTTGCAAGTTGTTACATGGCACAGTGGGTTAAGCTACTTTCACCAGGAGAGAATTTATGTCCATAAGTGAAATGAGTTCAATGCTCTCAGTCTATAAGTTTGTCTGCATTTAAAACACAGAATTCTGAATTGCTGGCAGTCCTGACTCAATATAGACACAATATCAGTGTGACAAAAGTCAGCTGCAGTGAATCAGCAAAACTATATGAAAAAAAGTACTGATAAGTGTCTGCTTGCATGATGCAAACATCCAGTTAACATTTCCCCACTTTGGCAATGCCTAAGATTCATGTGAACATTTTGAAATTTTGAGAATAGGAGGGTAGGGATAAAGACAATTTGTAAGTACTTGAAAGTTCTCTAAGTCTGGCATTTTATATACCTTAAATTCCACAGGGTAGCTGATTTTTAGCGTAATCAGTATCTTCTACACTTAATGAAGAGATCCAAACTCATTACCAGAATGTTTATGAAGCTAGCAGGTTATTTTTTCATTCTTTGATTACGTAATCATTCAACAAGAAATGTGACATTTTAAAACTACATTTCTTCAAAGTTCAGGTCAGAATTTTATTTTGCTATCCTGACATTTAAATTTAAAGCACGTGATGGGATAACATAACAGTGATTAAAAAAACAGCACATTAACCATTTAAGAACATTTTAATCTATAACTATCCTTCTGCAGAAATACATAAACTGAAAGTTCATTATATAAATTATATTTTTAAACATTTACAGCACTCACATTCCATAACAGAAAAGGTTAATTCCACACTGAGATACTAGTGCAAAAAGTGGTTTATCTAAGTGCAAATAAGTTAGTAAGAAGTTAAGTCTTCCCACAGTGAGCCAGTGGACTTCCCATTTTTATGCAGTTCTATAAGTCCATAATTGGGGACTTATATTTACACTAAATCTAAGGAAGTAGTACTGTGTGGAAATATTGGACTTTAGAGAGTACCAACCAAATCCTTTGTGAATGTACAGTAACAAGAGAAGAGGTTGGAGTATTTCCCACTACATGCAGATCTGCAAATTCACTTGGGTTAAAGATACGCAGCACCTTATGTTTTGCTGACCTGGCTCAAGACATAAATAAGTAAGTGTAAAATATCTTATGTTACTCTCTGATTATTAAAATACAATATGGCAAATATATATTATTAAAACTCACAAACATGCAGGTATTATATTCCAATGGATGCCATATGTCATCTTTGGCACATCACGGACAATACCTGAACACTGAGTATAGCACTAGACAATATATTTTAGGGAACAATCCTGCACTGGAAGGAGAATGAACTAGATGACTTAATAGACTTTTGCCATCTCTAATTTTTATGATTCTATTATTTATTTGTGCTAAAAAATAATTTAGCAGGCCAGGATAGAGATACGATTACACCTCAAATCTTGAGGTTATACAGTGTATCCTAGAATGAAAGCGTAAGCGCTACCCAGGCAAAATCAATGTTAAACAATTCACAAGAGGAAATATTAAGTGACTGCAATGCACAGGTCACAATCTCAGCAGCAGTTACTGAACTATATGGAGTCTGTGTCCACATACCCTAAGAAACTGTTGTGGTATAAAAATAGGTTGGAGACACTTCATAAATACACCTTTACTAATGACGAGCTTTGTTTTTTCAGCACATATTCTTTAAGTCACTGTAATGTTTAAACTGAAGGCTGTGTAGCTGGATACTCAGGAGAGCAAAAAACTTTCACAGGAGCTGGACCTAGACAATGAAACCCACTCCCACAAAAATACAAATGACCACAGACAAACCACTTTAGAAACTAGTCACCTCCAGAAATGCCAAACTCATTTCAGTAACTTAACTTTCCCTCAATAATTTCTTCACACAGACACACAATACACCCATTCACATACACAACCAAAACCAAATAAACTCTATAAATTAATCAAGGTATTTCTCTTACAGGCTGGAAAGGAAGTGAGAGAGAAATTGTTATTTCTTTATTTAAATACTTGAGAGATGCTCAGATACTACCATGATGGGGGCCATGAAAGTACCAAGATGTATAGATACAATTTCTTGCATGCCCTTGTTATGACCACATTTTAAACCAGCATCTTACAGTATCAAGCATGAAATCTGCATATTTCCAAAACACTAAAAATTACTCTTAATATACACTTTTAAAGATGATCATCTCCATTTTTATTCTCAACACTACCACCACTTTCCTTGCTGCCACTGTCACAGGTTGCTTGAAATATCAGCTGAAGAGCACACAACATCTGTTTCAATGCCCACCATAATGGATTAGCCAGCAGAAGTGAACTGCAAGCATGGCCTATTCCGAAGAGGGGTAAACAGGTCATCTTCATAAGCACAGGCAACAAGAATCCCAAGTCTCCCGTATCAGCATTGTGCCACCTAGCTGCAAGAATTATTTTAAATATTTACACTATCAGTTGATTTAGTTATTCTCAGCATTATAATGATCGTCAGAAATAACAGAAGAAAAGCATGTCTTCAAAAAATATCCATGGTAGGACCTGCATGATGCCCTAACTCTGATAAGAGGCCATTTCTTACCTAAAAAGTTTGGTTTATGCAACCCAGACACAGTATTCTATAGTAGAAAGATAATTTTTTGGGGGATCACCAACATCTGAGTCACTTTTAGGTTGCATTTAAGCTATCTGTTGCCTTCACTTACTGCTAAGACCTCACCACCCACAAACGACTTTGACTTAGAAAAAGGCTTAATATGAAGACAGGATCTGCAGAATAGCAAACGTGAGTTATAAACATTAACTTCAAGGTTCTGAATTATTCCTCTTATTCAGATGCACAATTCAGGACTATGGAGATATGTTTATCAATACTCTGTCATTCAAGTTCAGATCAGGGAAAAGGGTAGCTCACATCTACCCACTGTGATCTTGTATACCCTGCATCTGGAAGTCAAACCCAATGAGACAACAAGAAAACAATCAATTCCAGACATACATTATCAATATACCATGAATATTGGACACCAGGATCTACATATATTCCCAAAGAGAGAGCTTATATAGCCAGGAGGGAAGCAGGTCCAACTTTTCCTTGAAATCAACCTTAAACACCAAGAACTGTATATCTGTCCTTAGTCTCTTAGGCAAAACCTCCACTGAACAACATCACAAAAAGAGGACTCCCAGTTTGAAATCTATTATTCAACTTCCATCCCTTTTTTCAGATATATGTAAAACAACAGCCCACCTGCTGTAAATAGGCTCAGATAAAGGCTACAGAATGTGACATCCTACACCACACAAACCACAATTCAAAAGTAAGTACCAACTAACAACAACAAGTTGACATGTGCTCCAACACTTTCCATCTTAGAAGATAATCTTCATTCCTTCCCAAAGAAGTAATGCATGCAGAGGAATGGGAAAAGGAACAGTCAAATGTCAGCACACAAGTCTTTGTGATATTAAAACTTTATCCCAGTAATAAGCCACCTCAGATTCCAAGACATAACATACAGTTTTCCAACATGGCAAAACTGTCCAAAGAATCCTTGAAAAAAAAGAAATAGAGGCTAAACTCACATCCAGTTGGGCGAGGGATAGCATGAGTTTCCAAAGGTAACATGGGCAAACGCCTTTCTGGGAATTAACAGTTATTCAGAATCAACTCCTCTGGCACAACTAAAGTCAATTTAACTGGGAGTATATTATTTCATGCAATTTTTTTTTTTCATTTCTTCAAGGAAATCTGAACTTCCTGTGCCAGTTTACAAGTTCATTTTAAGTCACGAGACCAATAAAATAGGCTAACTTTTGCTTTTAGTGCAAGAATTGTGTAGGCACTAATTGATTAATTTAATGTGATTCTTTTTTTTTTTTAATTACAGATTAGTGGTTATGGGGCATCTGATTAGAGAATTATAAGCTTTTCAAACTACCTGATTGCATTTGTTAGGATTTTGCATTAACAGCGGAATAATCTAAAGTTCACTGAAACTACCTTGTGGCCTCCTATGTTTCAGGAAGATATTCCACATATTCAGATCTTCAGACATCCTCACTAGTTAAGACACATTAAAATGAAACATTTCCCATCAAAGATGCCAAAAACTGGATTTAGTTTTATTGCATGACGTTGCATAAGAAAGTGTATTATTGAAAGCTGTAAGGCATCATGCAATTATCAATAAGCTAATAATTTATTGTTCCTTGAGAGGTGGTTATATAATCTAAATTTATAAAACCAGTTTCAAAAAAGTACATAAAAAATTTAACATGATGAGCATTAAATGTCGTTCACATGGCTCTAGTTTTTAGCTGTTAAAAAGTGCGTTCAAACGTACTGTCCTGGAAAGTCACTCTGTCAAAAAATGGTGCAGGAGACTATTGTCAAGTTATAAATTTCAAAATAATGTTGTGTTATGGGATTTGAAAGCTAACATGTGGTGATATTCAGTCTTACAAACTTGCTTAAAATCAGTTTTCAATCCTCACACTTGCAGTTTAGCATAGTTGATTTAATAATCTAAAAAACATTTGCTTTTGTAACCAAACAAAGTCTACTGAGTTTAAGTTATGTACACTGAGTGATCAAATAATGAGCAGACTTCATATTCAGACATAGGACAGAATGTACTGATGTGATTTTGGTGTTAATCAATGTATTGTGCCATCCAACGGAATCCTTCTCCATAGCCTTGTCTCTTTAGCACGCTGCACATAAAGACTTCCAGTGGTCTGGCATTCAATTCTTTCAGAGATACATTGCCCTGGAAGTAAGAGATCAAAAGTATATCAAATCTCAATAGTATGAAAAAATGGGTTCTTTCTACAAAAACAATGTAATGTTATTACCTAATTTGTTTTAAATACTAGAAATTTGAAAAATTAACCTGAAGTTACCAAGAATAAAGTCCCTTTCTGAAATATACTGTGCATTCTATCATTTCTATCTGTTATATTCAGAGAAGATGAAGTACATGCAACAGGAATGCAAGAGCGAGCATGGTCAAAAAGGAGGTTTTTAAACCAAGGTGATTTTTGAAAACTCACATTAGGAGTTTCTCTATGGATGGGCATTATTCATTTTGCAATTAGATAAGAAGGGCATTTGCCACTAATGGTAAGACTGACCTCAGTCATGCTGACTGTAGTCCAAGGCCAAGGAATAGCAATAACAAAAACCGTTACTACTAATTTGAAGACACTTTTGCCTGTACTGCATTTTGGGTTTGAACTTGCACAACATAGGTGCGAGTGTTATGAAAATAAGAGCAAGATAAAAAGGTGATAAGGAGGGCAGAGAAAACGGGAGAATCCAACCACCGTTGGTCTCCATGTCCACTGACAGTAGAACAAGAAGTAATGGGCTTTATCTGCAGCAAAGGAGATTTAGGTTAGATATTAGGGAAAACTTTTTAACAAGAAGAGTAATTAAGCTCTGGAATAGGCTTCCAAAGGAAGGTGGAATCCCCATGGTTGGAGGTTTTTAAAGAAAGGTTGGACAAACACCTGTCAGGGATGGTCTAGGTTTACTTGGTCCGGCCTAAGCGGAGGGAACTGGACTTGATGACCTCTCAAGGTCCCTTCCCGTTCTACATTTCCATGATTCTACAATAAGGATCCCCCATCACAGACACACTCTTTTACCCTGTGCACTTCTGAATGAGGGATCAAATGCACAAGGGACTTGATATTTACTACTGCTCAGTGTGGAGAAATCTGTCTAGCGCTTAACTCTACCTGTGCCCATGCATAGGCTACACTGGCACTAAAACATAACCTCATGATACACACTGTTGAGAAGTTGCAAATACAGCTGTATAAATTGTAACTTTCTCCACCTTTTTCCCCCACATACTTGATAATGCCCATTATAACCCAAATGCTGTGTTACGAGCCAAAGGTGGGTCTTGTTCTTCTCCAGAAAAATATATTGAATTTCACATGGCTGGTCTAGAAAAATCTACATTACAAGCATGAGGGATATTGGAGAAACTTGTTTTTAATCCCCTACAACTGAATATCTGTTACACATTGAGTGTGCTATTAAAAGTAGAGAGTTCAAATAGCACAATGATTCAGATGTAAAACCTACTTTATTGCTACAGGTATTAGTAAGAACTTTTTTTATAAACTACCAATCAAGATTTCCACAGTAGTGTAGTGGAGTTTAGTATCTCATTTCTAATCCTTGGACTAATATTTTCATATTGTATCGCTCTATGAACCTGCACTATAAATCAGAAAGATCAGTGCCTACCAAACTTTATCAAATCTCCTAACAGAGTTCTAATCTGAAGAACTACGTGTGACGTTGTGCAGTCTCTATGGTTTTATAAAAACTTGATAATAAGTCAATATAATGTAACTGGGATAGTTTTAGAGAAAATACGGTAATAAGTGAATATAACGTAACTAGGATAGGCTTCATGCAAAAGGTCTCTTGTAAGGTATCATTACAAAGCTCATAATCTACCGAGTATGATCATCTGATTTGTATAAATGTACCACTCTTGTATCTAAAACTAGAAATATAAAATGTAACTCTGAGGGCCTATTGTAATTATGTAAAGTGTGGGCCATTAATGATGGTTTGGAATCTTGATGACTCCCATTGTCTGCAGATGGCTGTTTACCTGTGAGTCTCCCTGTATATGTGTGTGCTGGCAAGTGAGTAATGAAGTCTTGCAGTGACATCTGATCATGTCACCTGAACTGGAATCCATCTTTAACCTGGTGCTTTTCCAGTGAGGGGGGGTGGAAACCCAGAGGGACAAAGGGTTCCCGCCTTATGCAAAAGATATATAAAGGGGTGGAAGAGAACAGAGAGGGGGACAGGAGCCATCATGGAGAATCCCCTAGCTAACACCTAAGCTGGAACAAGAGCTGTACCAGGGGAAAGAATTGTGCCCAGGCCTGGAAGGGGTCCAGTCTGAGAAAAACTTACTGAAGCATCTCTGAGGGTGAGATTATCTGTATTTAGTTTGATTAGGCATAGATTTGCGCATTTTATTTTATTTTGCTTGTGACTTACTTTGTTCTGTCTGTTACTACTTTGAACCACTTAAATCCTACTGTCTGTATTTAATAAAATCACTTTTTATTTAGTAATTTACTCAGAGTATGTATTAATACCTGGGGGAGCAAACAACTGTGCATATCTCTCTATCAGTGTTATAGAGGGCGAACAATTTATGAGTTTGCCCTGCATAAGCTTTATGCAGGGCAAAACGGATTTATGTGGGTTTAGACCCCATTGGGAGTTGGGCATCTGAGTGCTAAAGACAAGCACACTCCTGTGAGCTGTTTTTAGGTAAACTTGCAGCTTTGGGACAAGTGATTCAGACCCTGGGTCTGTGTCTGGAGCCAGACTGGAGTGTCTCGCTCAGCAAGACAGGGTGCTGGAGTCCTGAGCTGGCAGGGAAAACAGAAGCAGGGGTAGTCTTGGCACATCGGGTGGCAGCTCCCAAGGGGGTTTCTGTGATCCAACCCGTCACACTACGTTTAAAGACTTGCTCACTCAAAGTATTTTACAGGAAGCTATAAGCACTGTACCAGGATAGTTTAAGTGTGATTCTCTTTCTCTGAACAAAGATGACCCTGAAAACAATTAATAAATTATTAGTAGAACTATATCTAATCCAGAAGTTTTAGACTTTATTTTGTAGATATTACATTTTTTAATCTATGAATACTAAAGTAGACAGTTTGTGTGTGTAGCTGGAAAGAAGTGATGCAAAAGAATGCTCGCTCTAGAGTACAGGGAAAGCAAATTCTAACAAGAAAACAAGCATTACCTTTCCTGTTGTTTGGCCATACAAACCAAACATCTCTCGTAACCTCTCTTCACTGATGGCTTCAGGTCTGTCAATCTTGTTACCAAGAATTAGGATAGGCACATTTGCAACAGTTTCATCTGTCATTAGCGACTATGACGGGGAGAAAAAAGGAAGAGGAGTTCAATGAGAATATGTATCCTTGTATGCAAGCAGAGGGAACCAGCAGCAAACAGTACTTGGGGTGACGGATGGAGAGAGTGGAGGGAGGAAAAAGAACACATTGCTGAACCCCCTGGTTGGGTGGCAGACGTGCCCATTTTCAGGTACTGAGAACATTAGTTCAATTTTTAAAAAAAAATCCAATTTATTTACTTACATCAAGTTCTTCTTTTGATTCAGTCAATCTTTCATGATCAGCACAGTCCACCAGAAACACAATGCCATTGATGGCAGGCAGATAATTTTTCCACACTCTGCGAGCTAACAAAGAGCGTTATAAATTAACAGCAAAATTCAGAGTAATGCACAGGATTTTATTAAATAGCAGAATCTTTAACAGGGCAGCCAGTTCTATTTTAAAAAGTTTAAAATCTTTAGGACAACCTACCCTGCTTGACACAGCTTGAAATAAAGAAGCAAAAAAGGAACCCTTTACTATTTGAACCAGGAGAAAAACTGTTCATATCCATAAGTACAGCTCTAAAAGTCTGTGACTTAGTGTATTATTTAGCAGTCAAATGGCTTATGACGATCTGAAGAATTTGAAATTTTTGATAAACTGTATTGGACTTTCAGTCCAAGTTAGCAGTAGAAGAGGTGGAAGTTTTATTAGTGCCCTGATAGATCAATTCCACATGTGCATAGATATACTGCAGTTTACCTTTTCTATAAACTTACATCAGCAAATGTAAGTTTAAACATAAAGGCTGATGGTAAATATCAGGGTAGGGCTTTTTGTTTTAATCTTTTTTATTTGGTTTTTCTAATGGTCACATCAATCAACGGCTTTACCCTCTACTTCAGCTCTATGTTGCTCCCACCCAATTTTATATTAGGGTGCAACGAACGGTAGAACGAGAAAGCAGATCAGGAAATGTTTTCTATATTGGCAAAAAAAGCCTGAAAGAATAATATTTGTAGCATGGTCATTTGTTTGATATGAAACAAATAAAGGTTACAATTATTGGCACTGAAGTCAATATAGTTACAAGAACAAAACGAGCCAGTTGAGCCACTATCTTACCTTGAGTATGTCCACCCAGATCAAAAGTGGTAAAAGTCATACCAGCAATTGTCAGCTCTTCTGAGGCTAAAAATACACAAAAATGGTATGTTCTCTTACTGTCTTCAATGGGAATATTTCCTGAATAAGTGGTACGGGGCTAGGCCCAATAATCAGTTTTCTTACTTCACTAATAACACATTGCAGGGATCTTGAGTGTGTAACACTATGTAGCCCACATAAGCAAAATATCTAAAATATTGTTCACTCTGTCTCCTTCCCCTCTTCCTCTCAAGAGTCCTTTGGGTCCTCATGGACCTATTAGTCCATTTTTCATCTGGGGTTGAAGTCCCCTCTTACAAAGCCACCCTGGTAAGTCATAGTCAACACCCTTTCAGCCAAAGAGAACCAACCAGCATTCCTGTAGAGGTTGTTAATGCCATGTTTGCAACTAGCTGGAGAGGCAGCTGTTGAACAAAGCAAGGCACTCCATCTCTCGTGATCTGCACTCTCAGCCCCTGCTAATGTGCTCACTCCATGTCTAAGATTTTTAAGTAGCCCATATTGAACTATATTACAATAAATGTAGTTTTGTAATATTAGTGAACACACTACGCAGGATGTGGCACATCTGAGAGATTTAAGGCATTGTTTCTAGTGTTAAAGAACTGGGGGTGTTGACTTACTGGGATGTAATGTAGGGACATGTTGTCCCAGTCTGTCATCTTTGAGCATGTGCAGCAGTGTAGTTTTTCCAGCATTGTCCAATCCAAGAAATACTAGTTTACCAGATTTCTTATACAGTCCTGTTTAAAAAAAAAAAAAAAAAAAAAGTGTTTACTGAATACATTGATTTTATAGTGTAATATTATAACGATAAAATGCAATACGACCAAAGGACTACAAGTTTAAATTATGACATGTAACAGAAGATTAACAATAGTATTTTCAGCTATTCTTAAGCAGAGGACTCTTCCATATCCTGTGGTACCTCGCCTATGCTGGAAGCCCAAGATATCACCCTCAGACTGAACAGGGGATGTTTTCCTCCATTTTCTTCTCTGTCTATAACTGTTGCAAAGGAAATTGTCTTGGCAGATAAGTAAAGGGGAAAACTGGTTTTAAATATAATTTGCTGTTTTTAATTCTACACATATTCTATTACTGTTTGGTGATCTTACCCATACTAAGATGCATTTAGTAGTTTGATCAATAGAGCTTGAAGACATGACAAGCCTTGCCTGACTAAGATACGCATCGATGCCTCAGGAGAGTTACAAGCTTGTGCCATCAACAGTGTATAATGCATAGATGAAATGTTTCCTGTCATGTGATAACGCTCTAATAATATGGATGAGAAGTTTTACATTTCATTAATCTTTATAAGAACAAAACTTCCCTTTTAATTTCACCGTGTTTATGCCTCCAGTATAAACAATAACTTGAGGGGAGGAGGAAAGGGTTAAAAAGTAAGACATTTTAAAATAATAATTTTTAAATTGAGATAATCAAAGGGTGATTCTCTTAATTTATAACACTACCTCCCTCAACACTGTATCCTGGATCAGAGCTATTCTCTGCTTCTGCAAACTGTTCAATGCTAAGAATGCAGTAATCTTAAAACTAATGTCAGGTTGAAAGTCACCGCCTGCTTTGAAGACCTGTAGAACATAGAATCTGCTTTAAGGGAGTCCCCTTACCCCCTTCAAAGAAATGTGACCTGGCCAGTGTGCTCAATACATTCTGTTAATTGCCACTGCCAGCCACACAGCTGTTAGTTTTCCGTTAGTGTAGAACAAGGTTTAATGATAATAAAAATGGTATAAGAAGGAAGAGTGAAGTATTAATTTCAGCAAGAGAAACCTTTTTTTAAAAAAAGATAAAATTAGGCTGTTACATGTTCCTAAAGTTTGAAAATCACACACAAGTACCGAAAATTCAGTGTTAAAGTGGGTGCCATTAAGAAAAACAAATCAGCATTACTTGCGATAGCTAAATTTACCACTGCATTTCTATTACTTATTCTGTGTATAAGGAATAAGCAAGGCAACTACTGTAGTGAAGTAAATGTTTGGTTATCTAATGGTGCCCACGGTATGACTGGGTCTTTCATTGTATGATGCCATCGTACTTGGCAATGTGATATACAATTAAGGAAATATTTATTTTACAAACTTTATGAAGATATAGAAATAGCTAATGTAGTAAATTATTGGATTATACAATTAATATTGTGCTATTAAAGTTCACCAGCTTAGTTTCTCTGCATTCATTATGCTTAACTGTGTATTATAATGCAACTGTCAAAAGTTGTGTATTATTTATATTTCCAATTGCTAGGTTCACGTGTTCGAGAAAAGAGAAAAAAAGTCTATGTATTTGTGGTCACAATTCTTCTAAAAAATGGGCCAGACAGAGCACTGCTTGTGTCTTAGGTTACTGATGAAGGCTTTTGATAAAGAAGAGATCCTGCTCAAACCATACCTGATGAAGGCTGAATTGGTGATCAGACTTTTTCTGATCTTTGTTTTTGTTTAGTGAGGACTTTTTAAAATGAATCTTTCATTTGGATTCTGAATTAGACAACTTCGGAGACACTGCAGCATTCCACATACATACAAACATCTACCCTGTTAACCTTTATCCTGGTATTATTTACTTACCTTCTCTGCTTTTAAACTGTAATCTCTAGGATCACATTTGAACAGGGAACATTTATAACCTTGGCAGAGAAGGCTGTAATTCTCTAACAGAATCAGATGAGGAGAATGAATCTGGTACTCTTCTAATACTACAGGTATGTTATTTGTTATCTAATGCCTGAATGTGTGTTCTCTTGTGCCAAGATCATAAATACTAGTAGTATGTGAGTTAAAAACATAATGTGTATATAAAGACCATTTAAAAAACATTGGTTTTTTCTTCAGATACAGCACATCTGACTTCTCAAATTCAGCTCTTGGAACATAACGGATAACCAGGATAATTTGTAAGTTACTGAGTAAAGTAGCAAGACATCACCATCTACAAAACAAGAAAAGGTCATCTAACAAGTTCTTACATTGTTCAACATACACCACAGAAGAGGTGCATGTCCTCCCTTCAGGAAGTTTGGGAACAAGTGAATTAATTATGTGGAAGATAACTGCGTAGGATGGCTCTAGTTTTTTTGGCATCTCTTTCTCTGGAAAAATAGCTAAATGTATTCCCTTCAAATTTTCTGAGAAGAACAAATAATACCTCATTCCTGGGCCAAGACATTATTTACCTATTCCAAACAAGAGCACATTTGTACCGCAGAGCTATACATTTCTAAGTATAGATAGGTACATTATGGACAGAATGAAACAGCAAATGTTGCCCCTGCTTCTCAGGACTATAATACAATTTTTGTTGGGTTTTTCATAAGAATACAAAGTGCTCAATTGGTAATACTGCAACTATAAAGTACAGCAAAATCACAATATACAGAAAAAATTCCTTCCCAGAAATCTCTTCATGGGCATTTTTCTTTTATGATTTACAAAATGTTATAATCCCTTCAGGATAATAATATATCAGCAACAGTAAAATCAAGGGCTCCTAATTTATTAGGTAAGTCTGTTTAATCATGACAATATAGTCCCATTTTTTAATTTAGAAAAAAATCTTTGAGCAAGAGTAGGAATAGAGGAAGCAAGTTGCTCTTAGCGTACATATAAGGACACGTCAAGAAACATTTTCCCTGGCACTTTGGTCTATAGTATCTTTCTCACTAGAAATATCCTTGGAGGAATGTGGGGGTGGGGTGGAAGTGGCGAAGTTTTCAAAAGTGCAGCAATCACTGCTTGATTAAATAAAGTAGGAGCGATAAGAGGTTATTCCACTTAGTTGACATTTCACTGGCTAACACTCAGATAGCTGGCCAAGGGTCTAACATACAGTGAGGAAGTTTAAACATCTAACTGATAATGGCTAGGCGGGTGACTTGGCGTGATTCATTAATCTTCTACTATTTATTTCATAAAACACATAAAACATGTAAATCATACACATTACTGGTCTATGTAACCCTGTGTCCCCTTACTGTTATCCTCATATCCCTTTCCTTGCCCTATCTGTTGAGAGTTAAGCTCACATATTGCATCCTGTATCAACCTGGCTTGAAACACTTTTGGGTAGGCACTGTTTTCATATTACGGGCCCTTCCGATGCCCTTCATCTGATTTTAGTAACACCTAACTTAGTATGGTACCACTGACTTCACTGGTACTGCTCATGGAGTAAAGTAAAGTACTGTTCAACATGAGTAAGGGTGTCAGATTCCAGCTCTCTGTCATTATACAGGGCCACAATTGAGCTCTTTGATCCCGAAAGAGGCCTCCAGGTAATACCATAATACAAATGATAAGTGATAATTGAGGTATAAAGTCAAGTCACTAGGCCCCGTTCTCCCCTCTTGCACTAGTGAGAATCAGGAGTAACTCCACAGAAGTGAATGGAGCTACACCAGTATAAATCTAGTGTGAGTGGAAAATCAAGTCCATTGTGTTCATACTACAGTAATGCTTCCCGAGGTACACAGGGTTGTGAGGCACCTCACTACCACCTGCACTTAGTGTGAGGAAGCCATGTCTGTGCCTGCCAGGGGTCAGCTCCCTGACTCCACCAGCCAAAGGCAGCACAACCACTCCCCTCTAAGCCTATGCAGGCCCCACTCTCAGAAAAACAAAAAAAAACGTATTTTCTCTAGACTTAAAGGAAGTGAATGAGATAAACAGAGGGATGGATGAAGAGTACAGTAAGGACTCAGTGCTGTTAAGAGAATAACTCTGCTTAATATTTTACATCTTTAATCTGAATGTCATTTCATTTACACCAAAATAAATGCTGCTGTTTAACTAGTACTATGTTTTAAGGATGCAAATGTAAATGAAAAACACTATAACAGAGCAGCATAAAAACTTACCTAAAAACTGCAGTACACTACTGAAACCACTGTAAATCCAATCAAATATGAAGGACATATCCGAATCTTAAGGGGTCTGAAAGAAAAAGAGAAATGCATTTAAGCACTATCAGAATATCATATAAAACATCTGTCTGAATTATGAGGAATCCAAAATACTGGATGGAAAAACTAAGAGCAATTAGCATGGGTCAGTAGATAGATTCATTTTTTGGTATTCAATTATCAATCATCTGGCACTTAGTTTGATCTGAGCTTTGCTTTATATAGTTTACCCCTGAACACTATGCTGGAGAGCTAAACATTTTGAATGTGTTAAAGAATTATTGTTACAGCAAGGACTGCCAGAATATGATGTACTGTTGGAAGCAGCGTACTCAGGTGAAGCAGCCTTATAAGAGAATGCTATCAGAGTCTAATGAGTAGTTTGTATTCGCAGATAATTTATTTATAGGAGTGGAAGTTTAAGCCCAGAAATCTGAGACATCAGTTTTACCCTCATTTCAAAATATATGTTTATCTTTTTTAATGATTTATAAATTAAGGGTCTTTCAGCATTACTGTTAAACACCTTATTTAACAAGATTTATAAACTTGCATTAAAATAACTCCAGGACTGGCTTGGTGCCCCATAGAGTATACTGCCACATGGTAGATCCAGTTCAATTCTTGATCCCATTCTATTATTCTCACAGCCAACAGGAGATAAGACTATTGCACAGACTGCATACTAAGACACTGAGATGAGGAAGGGGTGCCACTCAGCACTCAACAGCTTCTTCTAGGAGTGAGCTTTCCATATTTTGTAAAAATGTAATAAAATCCTTTTTTTAAATAAATCAGAAAAAGAATAATTTAGCCTTAAATTTCAAAATACAAATGCGCACTTCCGTAGCACCTTTTGCTTCCATTGGAAAATTTCAAAGCACTTTACAAACAATGAATTTAGACTCACAACATCCACATATTTTACAGGTGGGGAAACTAAAGCATGGACAGGCATTAAGTGACTTGTCCAAGGTCACACAGCAAGTTTGTTGCAGAGATGGGGAAAAGAACCCAGATCGCCATACTGCCAACACTCACCGTTCTTCCTCTGTATTGTGATGGGAAAAAATGGAAGTCTTAGCAATGGTAGTACAAATTAATTTATTTTAAAATGGGTCTGTGTAGAAGCACAGAGTTATTTAACTGAATATTTCATATGGAATTTTAGCATACAAATTTAAAGGGATAAATACTCTGGATAGGTCAGTGCACTGTCCATCTTGTCCTAATCACTAGAGTTGAGTGAATTGACTTTCCAGTATGGTGATTGTACCTGAACCACCAGGCTATAGTCATTCCCACGTTCTATACTATTTGTTGTCATTCATAATGGGACTTTATAAAGACAGACTAGTGAATAGTCATTATGAATTTCTATGAATGATGATAAAAATCATTGGGCTAGAAAGAGAGAATTACTCTTTAATTTGATGATTAGGGTACTCACCTAGGATGAAGGAGATCCAAGTTCAAGTCCCTACTCCAGTGACTATGTAATTATTTATACAAAGTGAAATAACTTCAACAGGAAAGACTGAAAGAGACATACACCACAATATCCCAAAGCCAAGTAGCTAGGGCATTTTCTTGAGAGGTGGGAGACAGTGAATAGTTTCTGTTCTCCTAACCATGCATTTCTGGGTGAATTTTCTAGTTGCTGATAATTTTTTGTCCAGCTCCATGTCCAAAAGGAAGAAAATAAATATTTTTTTCCACTAGAGACTAGCTAATTATGGGGAGGTCTATCTGCTGCTTAAATCAACCATCAAGTTTTAAAGTTACACCCGTGTTCTCAGGGAGAAACACTGGTACATCAGATCATGGAGGCGTACAAATACGTTTTTCTTGGCCAATAAGATACAACTAGAATGGTCCTGGTTTAGACCCTCTTCTCCTGGGAAATAACAACTAAGTGACAGCAAGAAGGCCATATGCCCTAAGTTTGTTCAAAGAGCAGTACCAAGCAGTAGAATCTTATCAAGAAATGCTGCATTTGTGTGATAGAAACCCATTAATGGACAACCCCCAATACAAAAATAGCCTTTCCATGTACCCACTAGTGATGGATGCTGAATGCTCATCTGAGGAAGTCAGCATTCATTTTGCACAGAGCTAGAATGTACATCACTTCTGAAGCAGTATTTGTGATGTACAAATATCACTGCCACTGACTCAAGCAAGTTGCCCATGGCAGAGCAGTAACCTCTTTATCTCAACTTCCCAATCTTTAAAATGGAGATAAGTACTGTATACTTACCTACCCCCAGGGGTGTTCCGAATAATTGTTTGGACAACATTTTGCAAGCATAAGGTACTTAGTGCCACGTATCAATTGCCAAGGCACTCTGGCCATGTCCTCTTTCCTTTGGCAAAGCCTCATCCCACCCCACCCCTCAGACTAGCTACAGTTTCCAATGCCACCTGAGGATCTTCTAACACTGGTGATCTTCCAGTGGCTGGGTGAAATGGTTTTAGAGCAGCTTTGCATCAGTAATATAGTACAAACTGGATGAGGCTCGACACAGGCCAAAACCTACCAACCCACCTTTGTTACAATGATGAGAAAAAAGTAATAGCTTAGAAGCTTGAAACAATCAATTACTAGCCCTAGGTGAGAAGAATTTTTCAGTGTTGCCATAAAGGGACAGACCTATCCCAGGAACAGAGCATGAAGAAAAAAAGGAAAGGGATATTTTAATTTGAGTCTTAAAGCAAAGTTTGATCCATCCAATGCACATTTGCTGTCCCATCCTCCCCAAAATTTAAACGGTTAGGGTTAGCCATGAAGAAACCTAGGATTCCTCATTCACATCATGAGTTACTGGAAACAGAGTTGATCAAATAAGACAAAAGAATGACTAAGGAATAAAAAGTATCACCACATGAACACTAAGTCCCACAACACTATGAATACAACTGTCACTTACATGTCTCAAAAGCAAAGGTCAGGAACAAGCAAACACAGAACATACACGTCAGCAGATTTGTTTATTGCTCAAACAAAATACCAATCAGGAGAAGCCTCTTTGAGGCTTAGAAATATTATCTACTCAAGTAACGTACAAATCAGTGCAAAGGGTGTGATGCAACAGAACTGCTCAAATTACTGAAGTGAAAATAATTTCTTAAAGCCTAGTCACGTTAAACTGAAATTATCCTTTTATGTTTACAAAACTTGTGGACAACAATAAAAAACTCCAAAGATTTTCTTTATGCGCTATTAAAAACTGTAACAACATGCAAGATTTAAATATGCTATTAAAATGAGAAAGGGTTATTCAGCGTATACAGCTGAAATTAGAGCATTAATGGTTAAATCCCTATCATAAAGTAAAATACAAAAATTAGGTTCTCTAGTGCAATGAAAGAATCTTAGATTAGTCAAAAAATTTGTGGTTTTAAAATAGGACGTGTCCAAATAACTCAAAAATATACCAACAAAAATTAACAGTAATAACACCTGACAACACTGAAAATTAAATAATTCTATTAAAGGAAAAATAGCTTGACAGTTATTTTAGAAGGGAACATTGTAATATTTGGATGGGAGTGTTAAATCTACTGTTACCATGCAGAAAACAAACTGCATAATTTTAATCTGAGCTTCAAATCTATTAATTAAATGACTTATCTCTACATTTGATATGAAACGATTATGTTGTAACTAACATGCTGAAGTCTGGCCACTACAAAACAAATAAAACAAGCAAAGGCTTGCTGTACACATCCATTTAAACTAGCATGACTGATCCAAAAGCACCAGAAAAATTGAACGTCCACAAGCCCGGCAGGCATATTCTACAAACCACAAGGAAGCCAAAGCCTGTCTGTTTTAGGGTTCTTTTAAATGATATAGCTTTAATTCTTTTCAAGGCAATTTGAAATCATGGGCTGCTGTTTTTTGGGGAGGCATTGTTTTTGTTTGTTTTTGACAGCAAACAGATTTCAGTTGGTTTGTGACGATCTTTTGATACTGGCTGTTTCAATAAAAATCACTTTAATTTATTGACCCATGCCCTCCTTAAGAAAACAGAAATCATTTTATTGAATCACATCAGAATGCCTAACATATGGTTATCACTTCCACGTATGTCTCAACTGTGACTAACATTACATCATCATTACACCCTGAGCTTGATTTTGTAAGTTATATGGAACCTGTCTTAGGCAGTCACTCAACTGATCAACAAAAACTGTTGCTTAGTGGAGGCGATCTTCTACTTAAGGTGAAGTAGAATTGGACACTATAACTTTGGGTAAAGCTTGAACCTCCTCTTAAGACGGAAGATTCCTAATAAGAAAGAGTTATCAAACAGACTCATTGTAATTCTATCATTCCTTACCTGTCAGGAGATAGATCAGAAAAGAGTACATTTTCTTTCCCTCTACCACTATAAATTTGTTACAGATAAAAATAAATTCTGTTATGCTTTCCAAGCTAGTTAATATAGTGGTTGTTCTTTTTAATATGGTGTTAAATTTGCAATTTTAAATACGTTTTGTTAGGATAGTGGATTGTGTTCTTTTTTTAAATTTAACATACTATTACTTTACAACACAAAAAGCATAACTAGTAAAAAATGACTGGTTTTATTCAAGTAAAATGCCCTTTGCATAAACTGAAAAGTGCATTCTACAGGGCCTGGAGAGACTGCTAACGAAAGCTTAGCGAATCATGACTATCCAACATGACTGCACTTTAACCAGTGTACTCTGAACTTCAATAATTCCAGGAACATAGTCTTCTAGAAACAACTTGGCAAACAAGTGTTTAAAGTCTACTTTAAGGCTGTATGCAAATTTTATTGCAGATTTGATCTAATTTCATAAAATCTTACCAATGGGGGAAAAAATCAATATCCTTAACAAAACTCCTTATTTGAAGTTATGATATACACCTGCTCTAGTACAGATCATTTAAAAAATAAGGCTGCAATGCATATTTTGGCCCAATAAGTCACCTCAAGAATACCTCTGAGGCAGGGGGAAAGGGAGTCACTTCAAAAATGAAAGAAGTAACAGATTTTTATGCATTTGAATGACTTTCTTGCAAATATTTGTGAAACCTCAAAAATGATTTATATCATCATCAATATAGCTCTGTAACTACGTGCTTCAGTAAACAAAGGAAGATAATGCTGCAGGATGTGCTAAGTTTTTTTTACACTATTTATTTAGGAAGTTTTAACAAGTTTACACATCCTTGCCATGTAAATATCAGATACAAAACAATCATTATAATGTTTAGCTTTTGTTTAAAGAGGCATTATATAGGCATATAATCAACAGATCTTTCTATAATCTTGCACTCTAGGCATAGCATAATTTTTAGCTTTGTTTGAAACAATAAATAAAAAAATAAGACTGTGAAAATGGTGATGCAGCAGTTATGTTAGATCCGAAAGGAAAATAAATACACTATAACTGAAATAATCCAAGTAATAAAACCTGGTTTCAGGTCATATTTTGAAAGTAAAAATAGACTTTATGGCCTAGTGTAATAACTCCTTTTCTTACATGAAAAAAAGTTTACCTAGGAATTTGAATAGATATGAACCTTTTTCCTCTTAGCTGCGATAATATATTTTTATTAGTTTTACAAACGGAATGTTCCGAACAAATCAATCCAACATGCCACACTAAAACAAGATTCACTGTAGCAGATAAATTCAAAAAGTTTGTAAAATTGGAAATGAATACTTACTAGGGTGACCAGATGTCCCGATTTTATAGGGACAGTCCCGATTTTGGAGTCTTTTTCTTATATAAGCTCCTATTATCCCCCCACCCCCGTCCCGATTTTTCACACTTGCTGTCTGGTCACCCTAATACTTACTGATGCTGTATTGAAGACCATCAACATCAAAGAGAAATACAATCCAGCACTGAAAAGGAATTGCCAAATAGTACTCTTACATATTAATGCAATCAAGATAAACACAAGGAGTATCTCTATCGTTTAGAAAGCCCTTTCTTTGGAATGCGTTTCCAATAACGAAGAGAAAGGAAAATAAATTCCAGCAAAGACAGGTAGGTGAAGAGAGGGAGAGTAATGAATCATCACTACAGGGATTCTGACTCACAGTTTTCAGAGTCACTTAGCTATTTTGGATGATGTAATGAATTCCAATTCTGTTTACAAAAGGGAGGTGGTCACACACTTCTCAGGCAAAATAACTGAAATAATGTGGAGATGTAAGAGTCCACTAAAATGTATTAAATACACTTCAGCTGGACCATCAGATTGCTGAAAGAGTCATATTCACATCACCTTCTAATACTCATAGTTGTTATATCTTAGTGTTTCCAGTAAGAGAGATGCATTTTTTATTATTAGTCTGACAATACCAAAACAAGGCTTGGAAAACATAAATTGCCGCATATCTACTATTTAAAAAAGACTTAAGAAACTGAAGGTATTTTCTTTCAGTAAAGTTTACTTTCAGATTCAACAGGCGGCAAAGCCAAATAGCAGTTGTGTGTGATTACACAATCCTTTGCACTGGGCCTGTCCTTCCAACTGCTCCTGTCTCTTTTTATTTGTATATATGTTTCCTAGTCCTTAATAGGTAGCCAATATTTTGTCAAAATTTCTCAGTGCCAAGTAACTCCTTTGAACAGATTGAATGAACACTGTTAACATAATAAAATAAGCAAACAATCTTGCTGGTGTTTTATGAATTAAAACACTTTTATAATAAAATATCCTTTCTTATATAGTGTATCTGATAAAATATCAATATTTTTCATTTTTAAGAGTTGTCATCTCTAGTTCCAACTTTTAAAAAACTCTATAAATTTTGTGATATGTTATTTAAATTACTAATATTTTCCCAATAGATTCCTTCTAAAAAACCCACTTTCTAGGATGAGCCATGCCAGGTGACACAAGCAACTGAGTTCTCATTTCCTAGCTTATGAAATCCTAATAGGAATCTTCCATGCCTGTTGTGCAGTGTTTTTAACAGGGCTTATTGAAAACCATGCCTGAACTCCAATTCATAGGGAGTGACTCCTACTAGGTCACTACAGTTCCAGTGAACTTGTCCAAAACCCTTATGCCAACAGTACCATTTTAACAGTTTTTCAGTAACAGCTGTATAAATTAAATATTGACAAAATGCTAATGGCTGATATTTAAATGTAGCCCAAACTACTGCAGATATTCAGTTGAGACATATTTTCCTTCCAATCAGGAATAGTTCTCAATGCCACTACAAAAAGGATGTCTGAGACCACCTTTCAGCATCGGTTGAAAACATTTTTGTCCTATCTATGCAAGCAGTTAAAAGTGTTTTCAACACCAAGTGAAGGAAGACTGAGCGGGGAGGAGGATATCAATTGCTGAAAACCATTATCCGGAATTGGTCATTTCCCTAATGTGGATGGCCCCTATGAGTTTCAAACCACACTAGCTAACGAAAAATAACATGCTATACCTCAAAATTCTTGTTACTCAGTTCTTTAAAAATTTACTTTAATTTTTTTGGGGGCAAGGACCATGGCTCGTCTATGACATACTCTGTGTGGGTGGGATCATCCAACTCATGGGTCAATAGAGGAAGACACAGTCATGACTTGAAATGTGAGTTCACCTGCAAAGAAACATTCACAGAATCCAAGTCTGTAATTGTATAGCACTTAGCATATTGCAGCTATGATCCTGCACAGAGCCCACAGGTGTTACCATCATAACAAATATATTTCATAAGTGCATTGTTAATTCTCTGGAAACGACACTGAATCTATATCAAGCAAAATCCTCCTATTACAGATTGTAATAATCATTATATTGGCCACACAGTGCGTTTCCCCCGCTTTTCAAAAGCCCTGAACATACAAGGGATACAACACCTTCCTTCTAATGATCTGTCTGTCTTCCCCTGGCTCTAATTTCCAACAGCCCATCACTATGTGTCCCCCATCCCATCATCTGATGTGAGCTTCCATGACAGAAAAGACATCAGTTGTGATTTAATCATTTAATTCAATGAGTTATCTACCCAGCATGAGAGAGGTGTTGGAAAATAATATTTTACGAACAAACTATTACTTTAACAGTGCATGTGCACACCCATGAACAGAATGAGGGCAGCACGGTCTAGTGGCTGAAGCACAGGCCTAGGAACCAGGACTTCAACCCACAGCTCCAGCACTAACTCACGCTGTGACCTAGGGCAAGTCACTTAAGCTATGTCTACATTAGCATTTTTGTCAGTAACATTTTTGTAGGTCAAGGGTGTGAAAAATACACCTCCCTGACCAACATGTTTCACTGGGGACAGCACTGTCAGCGGGCGACCTTCTCCCACTATCATAGTTACCGCCACCCGTTGGGGATGGTTTAATTATCCCGGCAGGAGAGCTCTCTCCCGTCAGCAAAGAACAGCTACACAGGAGATCTTACAGCGGCACAACTGCAGCAGTACAGCTGTGCCACTGTAAGGTGTGTAATGTAGACATAGCCTTAGGCCTGGGAGGGCGGGGGAGGATCGATCTAAGTTACGCAACTTCAGCTACGTGAATAACGTAGCTGAAGTCGACATACTTAAATCGACTTACCATGGTGTCTTCACCACAGTGAGTCAACTGCTGCCGCTCCCCCGGCAACTCTGCCTGCGCCTCTCTGTGCCTCTTGCTGAGCTGGAGTACAGGAGTTGACGGGAGAGCGCTCGGGGATCGATTTATCGCGTCTAAATTAGAGGCGATAAATCGACTCCCACTGGATCGATCACTGCCCTCGGATCTAGCGGGTAGTGAAGACATACCCTTAGTGACTCCGTTTCCTTGTCTTTAAATTGAGGACAATAATAATTATTTACCTACCTAACAGGGATATTGAGTGAATGAACTAGTTAGGCTGTGCGAACTAGACCTAAACACTGCAAGAGAAAGATAGAGTATTATTATTAAAAGGGATCAATGAAGGAAAGAAAAATACAAGATCTAAGGAGAGAAGCATACAGTAGTTTACATGGAGAGAAAAGCTCTGCAGACAGCTGGGAAAGAGAAAAACATGGTGAGAGGGTGAAATCTCGGGGCGACAAGTAGGAGCACAATAGAAGACGTTGGGGGGCAAGTGGAGGAACCAAGTGGGGGGAGAGAAGAGAATGAAGTGGGGGCAGAAAGGAAGACACTGAGGGCACAAGGGAGTGAAGGGGGAAGAGGGTACAAAGAGGAAAGTATGGGCAGGCAGAGAGGAAAGAGGAAGACTGAGAGGAAGGTACAGGTTGGGGCATTGAATATAGATAGGAAGGTGGAGGGAGACAGTGGTTAGAGTACAGATGGGGATAGTGGGTACAGAAGAAGGTAGGGGGCAGAGGGAAAGGTATGGAGGGCAGTGGGTATAAAGAGGAGGATAGGGAAACAGAGAAGAAGGGGAGCAGAGGGTCCAGGTGGGGGCAGCAGTTACAGTGAGGAAGGGGGGGCAGCAGGGAAGCTACAAGTGGGGGGAGTGATTACAGAGGGGAAGGTGGGAGGCAGACTGCACATGCAGGGGCAGTGGATATAGGGGGTAGAGGAGAAGGTGGGGGTACAAAGGGGAAGGTCGGGGAGCAGCAGGTACAAAAGGGAAGGTGGGGGGGAGCAGCGGGTCCAGGTGGGGGGGGGAGCAGCAGGTCCAAAGGGGAAGGTGGGGGAGAGCAGCGGGTCCAGGTGGGGGGGGCAGCGGGTCCAAAGCGGAAGCTGGGGGGGCAGCGGGTCCGGGGGGGGGCAGTAGGTACAAAGGAGAAGGTGGGCGAGTAGCGCGTACCAAGGCGAAGATATGGGGGGGGACACAGACGGATCAGACAGCAGGAGACAATGGTGGCGGAGGGCGTGGGGGTGGAGGGCCCCGGCCCAAGCGCATCGCGGCGCCGCCGCTCACTCACCCGCTGGTGAAGAACCTGAGATCCAGGCCGCCCCGCTCCGCCCGGCACCGACACCGACACGGACCCTCAGCGCCCTCGGCCCCGCCCCCACCCCGCTCCTTCCGGGCCCAGCCGGCCGTGTCACACTCGGCGCGCTCCGCCCGGCGCCGGCTCCTGGAGCTCGGGGGCCGCCCCAGGACCGCGACTCACCCGCTCCCCTTTCCTGGGAACTGCGCTTACTGCGGGCTGCCTGTCCCGTCCCCCCCATCCCCAAGGCTAAGCGCTCCTCCCCACAAGCGGGTTGCCTCCTTCCAGCACGGGGAACTTATCCTATCCCCCCTCCTGCCGCTTCTCGGGGCTGCCCCCAACTTGGATTCAGTCCAGGGGCTGCTTCCCAACCCCCCAGCCCCTCGGGTTCCAACTGGCTGCCCCCCAAACAGACTCCCTAATACTGGGGCCACACCCCCAGTCACCCTCATTCCATACTCACCCTTTTCTGGGATTGCCCCTCAGATCTCCCCAGTCCAGTACAGAGGCAACCAACCCACCCACCCTAACTCCCCTCCCCAGTGGGGCATCCCACACCCCCAGGCACCAGCCCTGGAATTAGGGTTGCCAACATTGTATTTAAAAAATAAGGACCTGTTTTCTTAGCCTCTCCACCCCACCTCTCTTCCCCATATTATTATTTATTTACTAATAAGCAGTACTCACCTACATTCACCAGGGGTATTTGTTGCCGCTTTTCGCAACACTCAGCAACTCCCAAACCTGTACAGAGATGAAAAAATAAGGGGTAGTTGGCAACCCTACCTGGGGCTGCCCCCCAACTCATCAAACCAAGTCTGTGTGCTAGCCTCCGAATCACTCCCTGCCCAAAACAGGGGGTTTCCTAACTCACTCTCCCCCCTTTAGCATTTGGGGGGGGGGATGGCTTTCCAAATTCAGCCTCCTGCCTTTCTTCCTCATCACCAGTTGGATCCCCAGTGCAAGAGCTGCAGCCAGGCCCTAAATCAACCCTCTGTTTTCTTTGCCATGGTTCCTTGTTGAAGAGGTGCTTAGAATTGTATTTTTTTATTTTTTAATTCTTTGCTTACAATACAAAGAAATAATGGAAATGGGCTGCTTTCTTGATGTAAAGGCAATACATACAAATGTCACAAGAAATGTAGCATTTATAGCACAAAAGAGGCTCTTGTGATTAAAACACAAGGCTTGGAGTCGTGAGATATAGGTTATGCTTCTGACTCTGACATACACTCACTGTGTGACTAGGCAAGTCACTTAAATTCTCTGTACCTTAATTTTACCATCTGTAAAACTGGAAAAACACTTTCTTACCTCAGAGGGGTGGTGTGAAATTCAACTATTCATATTTTAAAGCACCCAGTTGAAAATACAAACTATTTCAGTAGTGCTCCAACTGGGCTTAAGCTTGCAGGATCAAAGTCTATTGTTGTTATAAAGAAAGCTTAATATCCCAAGCTATTGTAAAATGTATGTTTGGTATTGTCACTGATCCCAAGGAAGTAAATGAATTAGTATCTGTGGGAAGAAGAGAAAATTGCGGTGATAATGGTGACTATTTTTCACTTAAGAAGTGCTGTAGAGAAGAATTTTTACTCTTCCATAATTTCTTCTACCGATTTTATTAAAACCAAGATTTCAAAAAGTGGCTAGTAATTTTAAGTGTCTCGTCCCAAGTTGCTCAAGTTGAATCACTTTAAAGAGGTCTGATTTTCAGATGATGAGTGCTCAGTACTTCAAGGTGTATCAAGTTGGGCACCCAAAAACTGAGATCCCAAAATCACTAGTAACATGCTAAAGTCTTAATATAATTTATCAAAATGTGAACTATGACCAAACCAAAAGCAATTGGCTTTAAAGTCCCAGCACAGTACATGATTCTGCACAGCTTGCCTATGTGTGGCCTCCATGTATATTGACATTGCACTTTACACCTGCTTCTGAGAGAAGTTTGAGTAAATTATCCTTGAAGCAGAGTCATGAGCCAAAAAAAGTCACCTGCAACAGCATTCATAGAAACTACAGCAACTTTTAAGTTTCATTCTTCCTTTTTACACTTACATAGTGTCTCATATAAAAACAAAGAAATGCTGAACAACCCAGAAATATTGTACTTCTTTCTAGCCTACCACTGGTCCATAAATATCCCTACAGTAAGAACTCTCAAGAATATGCAAGAAGCCATCAAATTAATGCACGTAGGCAATACCAGGGTTTAAATGATTTCTCCCCTAAACTTTACAAAACCTTCCCCTCACAGTTTTTGCAGAACAATAAATAAAATGGCATATAAAGAGCAACTCCAACAGCTGTGCACCCCAAAAGATAAACAAGATTTAATCTATAAAGGCTGCCAGGAGATGGCCTTACTGAAATATTGACTTCAGAGTCATCTCTAAGACCATATGGTACCTAAAGGTTAAATAAGCCCACATATATTCACAGCCCCACTGACCAAGTCAGTTTAATGAAAGACAGATTGGCATCATACAATATATGCAAAGTCCTGCTCCAGCTATACTTAGCAAAACTGTCTCACCACGATGCTTATCTTCTGTCATTAGATGGCAAGGAAACTTTGAATTACTATACCGATTATAAATACCCTTAAATAATCTGATTTGAGGAAGGATCTATAAATGGGATTTCCACCATATTCAACCAGCCTCTGCTAGTACAGAAGCCAGGAACTCAGTATGGTAGCACACTATTGTCTCTGCTTTTTAACCTGGCACTAGGATGTCTGGCAGCCAAAATCAGGCCACACAAGAAAATTGCTAATGGTTATTTCAGAATATAAAATATCCTCATACATAGAAGACATTCTTTAATTCATGATAGATCCACATCATAAAATCTCCCCAAATGTGTTGAGTTACAAAGTCAGTTATGTTACATCCAAGGTGATGGCTGGATAAAATAATGGAGTTTCAATATACTTCAGGCTTTCAGCCATAAAATCAATTATTATCTTTTAACATGCATTGTTATGATACTGAAAGGATCTTAATCCACCCACACCAATGGAATTGAGAAAGAATGTATCCAAAAAGACGTAGCCAACATCCTAGTGATGGAACAGATGCTACAGAAGACAAGATAAAAGCTTGATATCTCACTTAGGAACCATTGCAAAATAATCCTTTCAAATTAAACAAACAATAAGGGTAATCCTCAGAAGCCTAGCTAATAATTGATAAAAGCACATCTTTTTCCAAATTCATAAAAATATATCCTTCAAGTGAATAACTCTCTCTCTCTGTCTCTTCCTCTCCCATCACTGTTGCTAGGACCTAACTAGCTACAATCACACCTTGCTGCGCAATGAAACAAATCTAATACAAGAAAATCCAGTGTGAATTGCTACATCTTTAGGGCCTGATCTGATTCCCATGTTGTCAATGGAAAGACTCCCATTGATCTAAATTAGAAATGAATTGGACCCTTATACCACTGTTTGTAGAATACCATCCCCTCAGTTATACAAAACGTGTTAACAATGAGCAACCAATAAATAAATTCTCAATGCTGTTTTTTAGATTATACAGAAACTTTTTTTTTCTGCTCAAATGAGGAATTTTTGAAATTCCACCTTTACTGTGCGAGGATTTGTTGGCACTTTTAGTGATTTAAGCATATCTATGTTTTTTTTATTTTTAATGGCATAAATCCAATAAGTCATGTGATGTGCATGTTGTATAATCACATACTTGTTTTGCTTATATATGCCTCTTTATAAATGTTAATCTCAGGTTTCCTATTAAAAAGTGAACTATTCGTTGGCTGCAATAAGAATGCTGAAATCCTAAACGCCCTTCTTATTCAAGTTGGATAACTGTGATAGAGACGTGCTCCAAAGTATTTTGGTTGGAAAGAGTAGACTTTTCAGAGCCAGCATTACAGCATTTGAAGGCTGTTCAATGACCTGTATGAAATGAGCTGCCAGTAAACAAACGTCTATCCCACAGAACACCAACACAGTTGGCTCCCTAGCCTCATGAGAGAGACTCAGTTAAGGCCTGAATCAGCCACAGAGACTATACTATATTCATTTACTAATTTCCATTCAATCCTTTCAAACATTTATAAATTTATCACTGGAATATACTCCATTATGCAAATCTGAAATGGAACAAGGTTAGTAATTTGATTGTCTGAAGAGTAATTTGATGGCAGTAGAAAATACTAAGAATAAAAAAGTATCTTCATTTTGTAACTTGAGGCAGGATTTGAAACAATACGATAAGACAATCATGTAAGAGGAAATTGACACATTTGAATTAATTTGAACACCTTTTTTTAGAAAAGGTGGTTGGAATAGAAGTAGCTCAATCATTAAAAAATATCATGAGTTAATAGTTTATCTTATATTTAAAACTGTATGAGTATGAAATATTAAGCCAAATTCAGTCCTGGGGTACATGGGATTCTTTTGTTCAGTTGTTTTGGTCCTTTGTTCATCTCTTTTTACATGTTGTTGCTTTATTCTTCTCTGTTTGGTGTTGTAATTTTTACTTTATTAATAAAGATTGATGAAATATTGTCTAATTATCTTTTTAAATATTTAAAATTTTATTAATAAATATTTGCGTCAGAGTCCCATTGAAATTAACAGGGACTTGCAAGGAAGCATAGGACCACATGAATAAATCCAATTGCAAGAATAGGACCAGAGATACTTCTCTGAACTTTGACTATGCAAACTTTTATTTTAAATTGCTAATTTTGAATGTTATTGTTGGAGGTATGCAGTGTAATTGTATCCATGTCGGTCCCAGGATATTAGAGAGACAAGGTGGGAGAGGTAATATCTTTGATTGGACCAACTTCTGTTGTTGAGAGAGACAAGCTTTCGAGCCACACAGAGTTCTTCTTCAGGTCTGCGAAAGGTACTCCAAGTGTCACAGCTAAATGCAAGGTGGAGCAGATTGTTTAGCATAAGTCGTTAGCGCTGTTGGAGGTAAAATAAAGCACTAACAGTTAACTTAATTTTGTATTTTAAACATAGATATCACAGCCTCATGCTATGCACAAAAGTGATGGAAAACACAGTCCTGGGAAGTACTTAGATACTAGAGTGATTGAAATCACCCTAAGAAAGATAGATTTTTGTATTTTTTGTACATTCACAACACAGATGACACATTGGTCTGAAGGGAGTGAAAGATGAGGTACCAAGGTCCAGAGTAAATGGGAATGAAAGTTAAGCATGTGTGTAAGTGCTTGCATGATCAGGACTTAAACTGGTATGCCGGATTTCTACAATCATAATTTAATCCTTTCAAAGGTTCTTTAAAGAGCTGGTAATATTTTATGGAATTTTTTTTAAATATTCTCTTTATAACAATACTGTCAGTATTATTTCATATTTCCTTTTTTCACTATTTGTATTATTAGTAGGAAGAACATTTGGCTGAAAATCTAGTATTTAGTGTTTCTAAATTCCTCTGCTCCTGTTGCTTATTCCCACTGGGTTAATTATGTTTCAGAGATTGTTCCCCTCCAGGCTAACATTCTAAATTGTTTACTTTTATGTCAGGCTGTTATGCCCAGGCCCTAAACCCCAATCCAGCAAGGAACTCCATGCAGTTGGACCCCTGCTCCTGTTTGGAGCCCTCTTGAGATCCACTTGCGTGCTGCTCCTTGCAGGATCGGGACTCTGCTTTACAAACTTTCTCAAGAATCTTGCCTCCCCTACACCCCAGGATTCTAATAGGTAGGTGGTGGTGTTCTTCCTTCTGAGTTAGAATTGCTGCCATAGGTGCTGGAACCAGAGGAGTGGAGGGTGCTGCAGCACCCGATGGCTTGAAGGGATTTCCATTATATAGAGTTTGGTTCAATGGTTCTGAGCATCCCGACTATAAAAATTGTTCCCTCACCCCTGATTCCTGCACCAAAATTTATGGCATTTATGTTGTGGGAATTTAAGTGGAATCTTTTTGCATGTAAAACAGAAGCGGTCTCGTGTTTCTTATAAACCCTGGGTCACTTTGCAGAAGAGAAGAAGTTCCTGTTGATGTCACCGAGAGTTTTGCCACTGACTTCAACCTGAAGAGGATCACGCACAAGAGAACTCTGCTGTCATGTTAGAGTCATTACATTCTGCATCCCTAATATTCCTTCCTCTTCACCCCTTTTCCCAGCCCCGTTTCAGCTGGATGCCCTCTTTTTCTCGCCTAAACTATTGTGCAGTACGTCGTCTGCCTGGCTACTGTGCTTGAGGATTTTTCAAGAAAAAATGATACTGTATAGGTGCTCAAACAGGGGTGCACGGGTAGCATTATATTACTGTAAGCTATTGTTATTATGACATGAAATAAAATGGTTTAGAAATGAAAAGCTATAATTAACTACTCAGTGGGAGACAAAATAAACCCAAACTCTAATACCGGCGTGGACTATTCCATGTAATGAGGGATACAGGAATCGTGCTACGCTACAGCTGTCCAAAGAACGATCAAGTCCATCCAGTACAGTACCAGCAAAGCAGGGGAGCGAACGCCCCCTCTGAAACCCCACCCACTTCAGACTCCGCCCCATCCATGCTCTGGCCACGCCTACTGCCGCAGAACGCTTGGTCCCGGAAATGCCACGTGTACGGAGTGCGCCTGCGCGGCGTAGCCGTCGGTGCTTCCGGTGTGTGGTTCCCTCCCTCCATCCTCCCCCCAGGCTCGGAGCTGGGGCCGGGCGAACACAGGCAGAGTTGCGTCCGCTGCCGCCATGGCCCAGCCCGGGAGACCCCCCGCCGCCTCCGGGCACAGCAGCCAGAACGGGGCTGGAGGGGAACGCTACAGCAACGGTGAGGCCAGGCCGCCCGGGACCGAGGGTCCGGCCGCTCCCTGCCTCGAGGCTGAGGGGAAGCTCGGCCGCTCCCCGGGGGAGGGCGAGGAGAATCCGTGCAATTCCCCGGGCGAGGGCAGGCCGGAGACCCAGCCTGGGGCCTGCGGCGCCTTACGGGGAGCACGGTCCCTAGCGCAGCCTCCGTGCCCGGCCCTTTGTCCGGGGATCCCCCAGAGAGCAGGCCCCGGGCGGTGGGTGGGCTCCTGGGGCCCGGCGGGGGCACTCACTGATCCTCCCCAGCTCCCTTCTCGCCGCCCCACCGGGACACTGAGGGCTCGGGCAGCCGTGCTGGGGGGATGGTCGGCCACGAGGGTCTCCAGTGGGCGAGGCCTGCGTTTTCCCGGGATTTAGTTTGCCCCTGAGACCTCTGCGCTCCCCCACACTGGCCCCGTGGTGGGGCCGAGCGGGCACAGCTCCCCTGGGCGGGCAGTCAGAGGGCCAGGGCTCACGGGACGCCAGCTTCTGCTCAGTTTCAGGGTTTGAGTGGGGGTGTGTGTGCCACGTAGGACGTGGGTCATCATCTTGGATCACTTACGTTGTGCTCATCACTCCAGTATCGGAATACCCATCCCAAACTGGGTGAGTGGGGAAGGGCACGAGCCGTGTCCCCACAGATACACCCAGTGACAGGTTTCTGTGGGAAACTAACACAAACCAGTTAAAAAAACCAAACCCATGGGGAAGGAATGGCTCCTGTCTGTGAGGTTGTACGTGTGTGGATGGGCATTACTGAGAAAACATTTTCCAAGTACCTTCCTTGTGGAATTTTGAGCAAATCACATTCAAATTGGCTACTAGTTTCATCACTAGAATACACACGGGATGTTTGTTAACCTGTTTTGCTTTATTCTGATTTAGCAACAAGCCATAAAACAGTGATTCTCAAGCTTTTGTACTGGGGACCCCTTTCACATAGCAAGTCTCTGAGTGCGACCCCCCCTTATAAATTAAAAACACTTTTTTATATATTTAACACTGTTATAAATGCTGGAGGCAAAGCGGGGTTTGAGGTGGGGGTTGACAGCTCGTGACTGCTCACATAACCTCATGACCTCCTGAGGCGTCCTGACCCCCAGTTTGAGAACCCCTGCCATAAAAAGTGGCCAGATCTTGAGTTAAAAGATGTTTGGTAGCAACATTAAAGATTTCAGTATCTGATTGCAAACAGCTTTGCGCATACCGTTTCTCTTTATGTCCATCAGTAAGGTTATAGAGGAAAATAAGTTGGACTTTTAAGACGGGGATGGGTTATTTTTAACAAAAATATCAGGAGAGGACATAACCTGATCCCTATGAGGGGATGGAGTTCTCACTCTCACAAACCCCAATGCACATACAGTAGGTGGTCATGAGGCTTTGTTCTCTGGAAACAGGTGATGGCACAGATGGGGAACTACATGAGATAATGAGCCAATGGACTGTATTTGCCGTAATAGAATAGTATTTCTATAAAAATAGTCTGTTTTAGCCCATTATTTGGTAAATAAGTTGTCATCCTCTTTTCACATTATAGTGAGAGATAAGTTTTAATAATGTGTGTATGGTCCTCAGACTGCTACAGGATGCACATTGTTTTCTTTTCTTTTTTTTAGGAAAAAAGCCATATTTTGTAAAAGAAAGTTGTTGAGTGAGTGAAAGATTTATTTTATAGTATATCTCACCAATTATAGATTGCATTCAACTTTCTAAATTCAGAAGTCATTCATAATCTGAGCGTCTGTGACCTTTTGTAATGTAGTGTACATGTGGCACCACGGTTATCACTTGCAGTGGGAGGATCCTGTAACTTTAGAGTAAAACACATAATGTAATTTTACTTTGCAGTTTATGCAAAAACAGTGTTCTCCCATTCAATAAATTGTATAATCTGAGAGCTCTTTGGTTTTAATTTTTTGTAACCACTGATTTAATTAATATTGCCTGGAGTAGGAATGGACTGGGGTTATCAGAGATGAGCCACTGACACCAAAGAAGAGAGAAGTTTTTAGCCAGCATTAATGGCTTATCTCCCCAACTCTCTTTTCCTTGGCTCTTCAGGCATTGTAGCTCATCAGTCTGTGCTTCTGGTTGCAAGCTGGACTCCCATGGAAATAAGCAGAACATAAGCAGTGTAATCCAATTAGGTCTTTCTGATGGAGAAAGCTGGAGAGGAAAAGGCAGGTCCCATCAGGGCAAAGAGATGAAAAATAAAATAAGTACCTGGCTGCAGCAAAATGGCAAATTCGGAGGCATCTTGTAAACAGGCCATGTTCTACAGTTACAGAATGGAGTCTGTTAGGCTCTGATTATGATGAATGGGGGTGGTTCATATCCCTTAAAGCTCTTGTTTCAGATTTTCTACACACTTGGGCAGATTTTACTGCATTGGTTTACACTGCATGTGGGTGAACTTTTTCAGACAAATAGCATATTTGACCAAAAGTGCAGTTTCAGATGTATCAAAAGTATTCATAAATTTGTGTCGAGTTCATCAAATAGTTTTGAGCAAGCTGAAAAAGTCAAAACAAAGTATTTTGACCTGAAATATTTTGTTTAACTTTCAGGCATTTTGATGAAAGATAAAGAAAAGAGGAGTAAATTCACAACATGGCTGGAGGACGTGGTGAATTTGTCTCTTTTATAGGCGTTAGCCCAGTGATTGGGGTACTCAACTGGTATGTGGGAGACCTGGGTTGAATTCCCCCCTCTGTCTGCCTGCTGAGGAGAAGGATTTTGAACCAGAGTCCACTACATTGCAGAACAGTACCCTAGCCACGGGGATATTCTGGTGTGTAGTGCTTTCTCAGTCTTTCTTCTTGATGTTGTTCCACTTTTATAAATAGTGATTGGAGCAGGGACTGCAATTTGGGTCTCCCATCTCCCAGGTGAGTGCCCTAATTCCACATCGGTAGAGTCACTCTTTCCTTGGTCCAATGATTATTTACAAATAAGAGAGTCTCTTTTGTGCTTGCAAGTAAAGTTACTATACAACTATTTACATTTTTAATATTCATAAAACCTTACATTTGCTATATTTACAATATATCAATATCTTTGGAGCCAGTCAATTCAATGACAAAACAAGAATGTACGAAGCACAATCCAACTATATATATTAAATCCGTATCTCTTTGTAAGCAACTCTCTACTTTGATTGGTTAACTTAAAATAACACACTGGCATTTACTTTTTTTCAGTGCACAAGTATTGTTCAAACGGTCTCCAGAGATAAAATGTCTTTACGTTTGTTTGTAGATGACAGTGAAAAATATCATCTTGAGGATTTCATTGAAAATTGGACTGGCAAAAGTAATATTGAGTTGTATTCTTCTGACACTATACTTCCCTTTTCATAGATTTTTAACCTAATCTTCATCTCCTTCCCACCCCCCCAACAAACTTCTCAACAGATTTCTTTTTTCAAGGTGTTATCTTAATTATAACTTTCTCTTAAAATACAGTAGTACATTAAACAAAAACAGTTCACTGTCATGTTTCTAGTTACTGTATCAACAGAGTTAAGAAGATTTGGTGACATCTGATTCTTATCAGGGAATCTGAATACTGTATTTTTGTTTGAAAAGCAGGTGTTCAGTGATCCAGGAATGATTCTCATGCAACTGTTCTATATATATTATGTATTGTAAATGTTGATCTTATCACTGAAGTCATGGGAGAACTGAGGATATTTTAGTTATCTGTGTATAATGAAGGGACAGAAGTTAGAGGTTCTCCTTCAGAGACGGAAGTGAGGACGCATTGAGCAAAATAATCGATATATTTTCTTCTTAAGATCTGTCTTGAAGAGTGAAACAGTGAGATTCCAGTTAATACAATTTGACCTAAACAGCTTGAAACACCTTTTTTGCAAACCTCAGAGATAACCAATATGACTGTTTCCTTATTTTTAATACAGTATAACAGTTAAAATACTGTGTTAACTTTAAGGTTGCTACTGTGTATGCACATCAAGGACTGCTTGCTTAAAAACCTAAGCATTTAAAGCAAAGATATCTTTTATAGTCACTTAAATGGGCATGCAAAAATCACATAACATTTTTATAAACTTGAGGTAATGGAATGGGAAGTCATTCAGAAAGACACAGCTTGACTACGAAGAGCCAAAAACAGTTCAAGAGAGAACTTGTGACAGAAAAATAGTTGTAATGTCAACTGGGATACAATAGGCAGCGTATTTAGATCACCCAAAAACATGTCACTTGGAGCTATATACTGCCTCCCTTCAGGGTGGGGATGTGTGTCTAGTGGATAACATATGGTGTGTACAACTTACAACTGTGGTCTTCAGTTCTGAAATCTTGGAAAAAAAATTGTTCCGATTCGGACTGAAAACTTGAAATTTCCTGTGGAAAGCAAATTCCGAAAGATTTCATTTCACAAAAATCAAACATTTATCAGCTGGCTGCCACCTGCAGTTTGGGGTCCTTAGTTCTGGGACAGTCTGGTGGTGGTGCTGCCGTGGAATGGTGAACCCTGGATGCCCAAGGCTCCTCAGCAGCCCGCCAGGATAGCTGGCAGGAAACCAGGAGGGTTTACAGTGTGAACTTGCCTGTGTTTCTGTGGAAGAGTTGGTTTCTGTGAAACATTTTGTTTTTGACAAAATAGTATTTTCCAATAAAAACCCATTTTGTTAAAAACAATTCCCCACCAGCTATAGTCCCAACATTGTGAAAATAAATAATGTAGTACTATTTTCCCTTATTGTATCTAGTTGTCATCTTTAAAATATGGAAAATGAATGATGTCCTAAGAATGTAAATCATTCTCAAAATGGCTAATGGTTTCATAAACTGCTTGCTTCTAAATATCTTCTCCAAATGAATTCAGTTTAGTTCAGCTATACCAGCCAGCAAAAATCTAAAAAGCAGATTAAATGCATAGGCTACCGTTTTTTTACTTCACTGGGCAAAATTTCTGAGATTTTGATGGCAGAATTGACCTCTGTGCCATGATACTGACAGAGATGCTTTAAAAAAAGTATTAAGGAAAATGTAGCTGCTAATTGGTGTAAACAGCAACTTTTAAAAAGCATTTTCACTCTTGGTCACTTCAGCATGTATACTCTGTTCGCCACCCTTCATGTGTGCACAACAGTTACTTGGGGAATCAACACAAACGCCCACTGCCATGTTAGTATGATCATACCAATATATGATTTCCCCCCTCAAACACATTTGGCTTAGCTGTTTGTCACTTGACTTTAAATGGGCAATAGAAAATAACTTTTCTATTAACTGGCTTCCAGAACTTGCATTTTCCAAAGTAAATGCTACATGAATAATATGGGGATGAGTTTTTCCTCTTACTAAAACTGACCACTAGACGTTTTCATTCTCAAGCTTGTGGGAAATATCAGTCATGGTTTATTACCTTAAGAACTATGCTGATATGTCCACTAACTTGTATGTTCCCCAGTAAATTAACAGTAGGGTCAATCATCATGTTAAAAGGAATATTTCTAAATTGTTTCAAACTCCAAGCATATTTTCCCTGTCTGCCATCTACATTTAATTGCCTCATTCTGGTTTACCAGCCAGTTGCATGCGAGAGCATCACAGTTATGTTTGATTTGCTTTTATTGAACGTCTAGCTTCTGGATGTTCACGTGCAAACATCGGCCACGGATGATGGCCCATGTTCAAACCTGAAACTTTTAGAGAATATCAGGGTTCTACTAGGTTGTCAGAAAAATAATTATACAAAGGTCTAGTGTATTAAGAGCAATTAATTATGAAGTTCATGTGTCTTATACTGCTCTCCTTATTCCTGGCTTGTTACTAAAAAGCACTTCATTACTAAGGGACTAGTGGTAAATTCCCAGGGGCTGTAAATAAGTGATATGTTGTTGGGAAGCTGGAAATTTCTTCTTGGGTACAACACTGACTCTTTGAAGGTTTTTTCTTGTAGGTCCTGTGCAAAACTCACTGATGCATTCATCACAAATGTTAGATGGCCAAGGATTCAGCTCTACAGTTCCAGGATTATACTCGCATCAGATACCAACAAAGGTTCCTGTACATCCATCTTCTGGACAATATAACTTTGGTGGTTCTCAGAATGTTTCTCCATTAAGTAATCAGGGATCTGGGCAGACTCTTAATAGACCACCTGTGGGACCTATTTCTATGGCACCTTTGCAACATGCAAGTTCTGTTCCCCAGATGCTCCCTCCATCACAAAACTCTGCTGCTATACCATCATCTTCTAGTAGCTTCGTTCCTGGAGCTTATCCCCCAGCACTTTCAAACTGGCAGTATGGTCAGACTCCTATGAGTCAGCCAACTGGGTCTCAAACAAACCATTTTGCTCATGTAGCAGGAACATTATCAACCCAGCCATTATCATCATCAGGGAGCACAAATCCTGCAACAAGCTATCAGTATACTGTTTCCCCTGGAGGTCCTCCACTTCAAAACAGCTACATGAAACCAGGTAAGAAAGATAAACATAAGGACTCTTGTACAGTGGCATATGTTTGGACTGAATTATACATCTAGTTGCAAAAGTTGATTCTCACTTTAGCTGTTGTGGTTAAAAATAAATAAAGATCTGATTCTGCAGTGACTCCTAATGGTTGTGGAACTGCATTGTTGAGCTAGATGCTCTGATGAAATGCAGTTTAGAACTACTTGGAGAACTTCCATTCACTTCAAAGAAAGTTCCATGTAGGGAGCAGGCTCTTAATTTTGTGTTTTGGAGAATGCTGCAACAGGCATTTGCTGGGAATTGGCCTTTCTCACTCATTGTCTTGTTTAATACTGCTTATTTAGGTCAAATGTTTGCATGTCTTAATGCTTTCTAGGGGTTCTTTCTCACAGCTCTGAACCTAGAGGTTCTTTTCTCCCCACCACTTAGCACCTCTTTTTGGTAGCTACCTGCCTTTTAAAAAAGGAAGAGAAGGATTAGAAATATAGAGAACGGAGGGTTGGCAAAAATATATATTATATTTGTGTGTCGGGAAACAGGTATACAGTACAGAGGTTGGGTAAGCATACATGGTACCTATATGCCTTTTCGTGCTCTTCTGAATGATGCCTATTTGAATATTTGCACACTTGGATCAAATCTTGGGCTCTTGCGATTTTCTATCAGTAGGGGTGTGTGTGCAAGTTGAAGTTTTTTTTAGGATTCCTGTTAATCATTTAATGCTGGCAGTTCTCAGCATGGCCTTTGTTGGAAAGTTGCAACTTATTATGCATATTATTAGGGGGAGGGATAGCTCAGTGGTCTGAGCATTGACCTGCTAAACCCAGGGTTGTGAGTTCAATCCTTGTGGGGGCCACTTAGGGATCTGGGGCAAAATCAGTACTTAGTCCTGCTAGTGAAGGCAGGGGGCTGGACTCGATGAGCTTTCAAGGTCCCTTCCAGTTCTAGGAGATGGGATATCTCCATTAATTAAAATTTATTTTATTTAACTCCTTGAGCATAGTTTGTTGAGTCATACAACAGTCATTCTGAAATACAGAAGCCTGGTATGTATGTGTGTTTGAAAGGAGAAGCTGGGAGAAAGCAGTGATGCTACAGTTCAGTTGCTTACTTCACTGTAGACAAGGATGATTTGTTCGGGAAAACACAAGCAGACACACAGACTTCATTGAGCACAGCACAGATATCAAAACATACATTAGCAAATAAAATCTCACTAATGCTTCTCTTCCCTGGTAATATGCACCAGCCAGTCTCCGACCTCATCACTGGCTTCTGTTAGTGGTAAACATTTAACATTTTGTGGTCATATTTTCTTAAATGCATGAATTTGTAACAAGCTATAATAGTTTCTTCAGCATCGTTCACTAAAGCAAGCCAAGTATCTGGAATAGTAGGCCTCAACATTTTATGGGAAGTAAGAAAACATGAATAAAGAGCTATGCATATTATTGTTAAGTGGAAAGCTTAGTATACTTCTTGATAGAAAGCTTCCTTACTCTAAATTTCTAGTTTTCACTCCATCCCAAGTTGTTTGTCTCTAGAAAGTTTCTGAGAAGAGAAGTGTGAAATGGGCTATAAAAGTGATAGAGCAGCACGTTATTAGACATATCAGCTCTTTTTTTTTTTTTTGTGCCCTATGATATGCAGGTGACAAAAAATTTGCATAACACTAACTGCTGACTTTAACCATTTTGGAAACACAATACAGATGCAAACCACTTGTACAGTTTCAGTTCACTACAGTTTTATCATCAGGTTTCTACTATCCAATTCACATCCAGCAGTTGCTTTTCTAATTATTCTTCTACTGAGCACATGTTCCTGTTAATGGGAGTAGTGTGCTATCCTTCTATAAAATGTATTGCAAATCAAAGCAACTGGAATGCTAAAGTAAATATTTTCTTTGTGGATGACTTTTAAACTCATGTTGACTGACGTGTCAATGTTAATCATGCACATTAAAAGGAAACTAATTGCACAGTGGCTTTCAAACTGTGATCCGCGAGCCATTAATGTCCATGAAGATACCCCTTGTAGTCCACAGGTGGAGGGAAATTAAGAAGTAGATTGTTGGGAGAAAAGGTAGACCTTGTGAGACTGGTTTTTCAGAATGGTCTACAGAATAAAAATGAAGGACTGTAATAGCAGGACTCTCATAGCCATAATGCAATAAAAAAAGTTCCTGAACTAAATCGGTTGTAGTTATTTGTAGAATTAGTGACATGTATTGTCTTTAAAATTAGATTGCATAACTTAGCTTATTGGCCAGATTCTTCTTGTATTTAGTGGGAGCAAAGGTTTCTGCTAATGTTGGTAATGTACCTTGCCCGAAGCTATCTGTGTTGGCAAAGTCTCAGGTAAAGGAACAAAATGGAAGTAACTGTGATAAAGATATACTTTTGTTTGATGTCACCACTACAGATACACCTGGAATATTGAATGTTGTTTCATAAGTAATCAAGCAGATAATTTTTTAAATGATCAGTTAAGTTTGTGTAGTTTGGTCTGACAACTTACCTTATGGCTAAATAATCAATGTACTATAGAAATACTTCTAATATATTTTAATGTGTGGCCACATGCTGCCCATCCTGGTGAAGACCTGATGTACTGACAAAAGTTGATGATTGATCCTTGGAGAAGATATTAACTATTTCAAATTTAGTTAATGCCTGATAGTGCACCTGGTGCTTTTAGAGAAGAGTAGACCTACCACCCTCTGAAATGGAAAAAGGTACTCCTAGGACAACTCTTAAGCATAAAGTAAGAAACTAAGGTCGGGATGGCAATTAAATAAGTAATTATCTTTAAATTATCCATGAATGTCCAGGAAGGGGAAAATCTTCCATTGGCTAAGGGAGGGAGAAAGTTACAGAAAAATGGTGTGGTCTTAGAACTTTTGTACATTTCTCTAACCTAGGAAGATAAACGCTTGATGTGAGCTTTTCAATATATAGATGCTAATAAATCTTTGTGTAGTATGCTTGACCTAGAGTATTTAGTTTCAAAACAAAAATCCCTTGCATTGCAGAAGTATACTTGGGCTGTGTCTCATTGCTGTGTCTCATTACTGCAGTATTCTCGGTGTAAAATCTTTTTTGACAAGTAATTAAAAAATCTAGAAAATACGTATTTCTAACAATGACAACTTAGCATCAAATCATATAGGTGGCAGATGGACATCCTGTCAAGGGAAATTTGTTTTAAAAAAAAAAGTGTGAATTTATAGGATCATCAGATGCATAGTATTGACATAGGCTGGCATTTTCAAAGGTAACTCTTGTGGTTAATGTACCTTTGAAAATTTCACCATAATGGTTATTAATTGTCAAAACAGGTAGTGACATAGATCATGGAGCTACAGAAGTCCCAGTACTTAAAGATGAGAAGAAAAACTGGCTAAGAGCTGTTAAACTTCATGTGCTTCTTTTGGGGTTTCTGTAACTTGTGCTGCTCTTTCCACTGAATAAATAAGATTAATATTCAGATTGACCTGTATGTAAGTAACCATCTGTGACTCTTCAGTTTGTTTAAAGCTCTTGAAAATGAATTATCTCTACAGGCTCTGTTCCTCCACCAGTGAATCGGCCTTTAGCTTCAGCATTCCCTCCTTCTAGACCTCCTCTAGGACCGCCTCCGGCTGGAGGTCCACCTTTAGTGAGGCCATCGGCAACCCCAGTAGGACCGCCTAACAGCTCTCTACCCCAACCTCTGCTAAATTCAGCTACAAACCAAGAAGGTAAGGGATTGATCAGTTCTATTTATTTGGTATTTCCATATCAATATAGGTAATTGTAAATACAGAAATTAAAGTCACTCAAAATGACTTAGTGAACAGAAACTTTTGGCTGCTCGGAAACTCTTTCCCATGATTTCACTGAAGTAACTATGCTTCAGAACTCTTCCATTTTTTTTGATATCTGAATGTTTTCATCACCAGTACTTCCAAATGACTGTGTTAGAGGATCCTTTTTCTTAAACTTCAAACTTTTTTCTTTAACTTAAACTTAGAGGTAGTTCAAATATGAAATGTTTCCCAAATATCAGTTTCTGATACTATATTTTCAGAAGAACAAATTTATTTCATGTGCGTTGAATGTGTTGCAATGTGTCTGTGAAAAAACTGTACTAATTAATGCACTGATTTTATTGCATTGACATAAGTTGAGAATTTGACATCAGTGTAGCATAGTTTCCTCACAGTTTCAAGGTAAAACTGATGGGAGAAAGATGGTATATTATTTCCCATTGACAGATGCAGAAGAGAAGTAAAAAACGGAGTGTTCAAAATAGATATCTGTGAGTGATACGTGTGTGATGTTATGCCCTTGGTTTTTATATTCACTTTTGTACTTAGGAGGGATTTTTCTTTTCTCATTGTTTCAAAACTGTGTGGGAAATTTAAATCTCTCTACCACCAATCCTGCAGCAACTACGGAGGATTAAAATATGTTATTCCTGCATGGAGTTCTTCCCTTTATCCAGTAGGATCAAAATAGGAGTTAGCATCATTTGAATCCTGGTATCATTGCTCCTGGAGCAATTTTATAAAATGTGAGCTCTGCAGTGCTGTGTCCGATGTAAGTGCTGTACGTTATATTTAACTTTTTGTAGTGAAACTTTGAATCATACTTACTGTGTGCTTTCTTTGCAGTATGTTAAGGTAGTTGGAGAGTGACACCTGCTCTTAATAAATGCCCTACACAGTACCAGCTGTCCAGGACTATCAATAATCTAAGAAAAAATATGGCAGTCATGAGGTTTACTCCTATGGCTGCCGCACAAGTATGCCGTTGTGTTTAAGCACTCATCACTGCTTTGTACCAAACCAGGGTGGATTTGATTTAAATCACTAGTCAGGAAGACTAGATTTAATCATGCATTTCTATATAAAAGTGCATTCTTCTTGGTTGTTATAACCTTAATACATATTCTTCACAACTCAGAGATAGATGTAGGTTTCATTTTTAGAAGGTACACACTATACATTTTTAAAGTGATTTATTTTGAAAACTTTTCAGATTAGTTTTACAGCTATATCAGAAAATGAATGATTGTTTGGTTAATTCATTTACCAAAGGTAATTTAAGCAGATATTTATGAAGTCATTGGGAGGTGAAGTATCTCCAGTTCAACAGGTTAATCATTAATATTTGGAGGATTTTCTTGCCATGCTGTATTAAGAGGAGAACATCACCAGACAGACATTTAAATTATTTTATTTAACTAAAACCACGACGTTGTGTATTTCTGGTTTTATTTCTTCAACAGCAAACATATAATATTTTAATAAAACAAGCATATGAATTTTTGAATTTAGTTAAACATTCAAGTTTTTCTTTGTTGCACTGTTTGCATTTTGCACGCATGACTGTCTTACCTACAGGTAGAGGAACTTCATTAAAATATTCCCAAACTGGGTCTCTTTTATGGCCTGCTGCCATTATAGGTTTTCCCTTCTAGTGAGAGAATGGTATGGTAGATCTCAAATCAATGAAGGCTACACTCAGAAAGACCTCAAGACTTCTGGAATATGCTGCTCGAACAGTTTCACTTTTGTTTCTACTGCCTGTCCCTCCCTTCTCACATTTATCTCCAGACTTCTTCTCCTTGTCCAGATCTATTCTGCCCCCAACAATCTTCTAGTTATTGAACTTTTTGAAACTTTGCACTTTTAAAGAGAGGTAAGGGATTGACTCTGTACACAAATTTGCAGAGGGGCAATAGGGTTGAGGTCTGTTATTTCTCATCTCTATATATTATTTATTTTATTTATTTTAAAACATTTTTGCTGTTAACAAGCATGTTATATCTGGAGACACAAATCCACAGTTTGAGAACTGCAAAACTAAGCATCTCTGATGATATCTTCTAGACTGAGCTCTGAGTCCCATTGGGTAGATAGAAAAATTAATCTAAATAATCTATACAGAAGCCCCTGGAATCCCATAAAATTGGTTCCCTAATCCATGAACTACTGGAACTCATTTACAAAACTTTTCTTAAATATTACATGAATAGATTGACTCATATTATAGAATTAGAATTTATAATCCCTATTCCATGATGAGATATCTTTGAGGTATAATGTATCTTAATTAAAACTATCTTTAGATGGGCTTTTTCCTCAAAGTACTTTATAAAAAAAAATCCGATTTCAATTAAAAAAAAAAATTGATTTTTATCCACCCTGTACCAAACCACCTTGTAGTGTTTCACAGTTAGTGTTCATCTTAGACAGGGTCATATAGTAATTGGCACTGCTTTTTTTTTTTTTTTTTTTTTTTTTTTTTTTTTTTTTTTTTTTTTTTTTTTTTTTTTTTTTTTTTTTTTTTTTTTTTTTTTTTTTTTTTTTAAATCTAGTAGTGTGGGATATCAAGTCAAAATTGTTCTTGGTTTCCCCCATGCAGTAAAATTGATAACTGCTTTCTCCTATGGTAGCTTGGTGAAATTGTAGTATGAAGACCCATTTTAAAAGGAAACCTGCATGGACAATGAAGACTATTTTTTATCATTTTTGAGCATATGAAATTTACTGGAAATTGCATTTGGTTAGCAAACTGGTATTTTTTTCCACATTTAATAAAAAGCCATGTAACACATTCTTTCTAGATAAGTTAGAATTTTTAACAGACTATGAAGTGGCTTATTTACTTCTGGGTAGCAAGTCTCTTTAATTTGCTTTACTGTTTGGATATGGGTTGGGTATATTTTTCCTTTTACTAACCCAAATAACCCCTTTATGTATTAGTAGCCCTTCATTAATAATTCCCTTCCTTCTTTTGCCACTTTACAATTCTTTTGGTTCTTTACCACAGTTTACTCTTGATTGGGTGTGTGACTTCCAGAAGCTGCTATTGATAGAATCAGTAGATGGAGCAGGATGGGTGCTCTTAAGAGAAGAGTGTTTGGTTTCTTTTAGCAGACATAAGTAATCATTTAAGGGTGGAATTTTCAAAAATACATAAGGGAATTGAGCATCTGAATCCCTGAGGTGCTTTTGAAAATCACTTTTCCAACATGTGCAACCAGGGGAGGAATTTGGCATCTTGCTACACTGCAAATCAAGTTGGACTCTTTGCAAAGCCTGTTATCTAGCCTAACTAAAAATTACATCTCTGGTAAAGTAGTTCATTCAACTGATAAATAACGTTTTTGAAGGGTTGATGACATTTAATGTGCTCGGCGCAAGCAGAGTCAGCGGGGGGAGCACAAGTAAGCTGTATTCCTATATCTCTAGTTAATCACTGGTGCACAAGCAAAGTAAGCGCAAAATCATGCTAACCTCGAGCTTCATCCAAAATGTGGGAACACTTTATTTTGATAAATTGAAAAGGGATTATTAACATGTATGTTTTACCACAGATACTGAATATAGTGGAAGGTTTTTAAAAGTAACTATACCTAAGCCTACGATTTAGTCACAGGTATTTTTAGTAAATGCCATGGACAGGTTGCAGGCAACAAACAAAAATTCATGTCCTGTAACCTGTCCATGACTTATACTAAAAATACCTATGATTAAATCGTGGGGGAGGGTGCTGGAGGAGCGTTGGGGTGGGGGTGCTAGTTGGGGGGATGCCCTTGGCCAGTGGCACCAGCTACCCGGGGCCAGTGGCCAGCCAGGGACTGCTGCCGCGGACCACGGTTGCTCCAGCTGGCTGGGGACCGCTGCCGTTGACCACAGTTGCTCCGGCCAGCCAGGGACCACTGCCCGGGGTCTTTTTCCATTAGGTGATCCTTTTTCACTTCATGTTTTAGAATCAAGCATTAGGATTTTTACACTGAAATGTTCTCCAGCTTGTCACTATCATATTAAATCAATTGCTGATATTAAACTTCCAATGAGGAAAAGCAGCTCGGTTTCAGAATTTAAGCCTTCGTTTCTTAATGGGTTGTTTTTAGCAGGTGATGCAACAGCCGCTGCCAGTGATGGATCTTTGGTCCAAAACAGTTACGATGCAATAGAAGGAGGAGGCTTCATGGGTAGGACATTCTTATTAAACACTTTTAATTTTGAGGAACTTAATTTTTAAAGCCATTTCAGGTGGGAGGTGGTGGGGTGTTATTCTAACAAATGTATACTTTGCTCAGTGTAAGTTTATCTCAAGGAAATTGACTTTAGTGTTTGAAGCTTTGTTTTAACATTTTATCATGCTTATCCACGTAAGTGTGTTTTTTAAACAACAATCCAGCCAAAACCTTTCAGTAAGTGCCTGGCCAGAATGTCAACATAATAGCATATCATCAATAGAAGTGCTATTTTTTTGTGTATTAACCTAGCTGCATTTCTTGGATAACTTATTTGAATATGTAAATCCTCTTTGTCCACTCTAGCAACCACGTATCCATCTCCTGCTCCCCAGAATCTTAAAATGGGTAGAAATGTTGGGTATTCTTATCCCACCTTACCACCAGGCTACCAGAATTCATCTTCACCTGGAGCACCAGGAATGCAGTCCTCACCCCTGCAATATCCAGCTGGACCACAACCATTTCCTCAGGTAAACATTGATTTTTGTCTATCACTAAAGCTTCAGTCCTGTAAACTGCTTGGCTCACTTTACCTATTTTAGAATGCAGTACACAGATTTGTCCCTGTTTAAAATAATAGACTGAACATTATTAAACATGGAATTCTTCATCAAATTTTGTATTAGATGTATTCAAATAAGTTTTCTTGCCAAGACCGCTTGTACTGTGCAACGTGTTCGACCTAAATTAGGCAGCAAGGGTCCCCTGATTTATGTGGCATGGCTACATTAAATTATGCAGCATTATACTGCAGTGTTAATCACCACCTAACTCGATAGGCTGAGAGACAGTGGTAGAAGGGCTGAAGCACTGTCAGTGGGGCTTGGAGGATGTGGTTGCCAGGATTCCTAGACTCTCAAAAGTACAGAGCTCCACAACACTGAGTCTTAGGAGTTATGCACCCAGGGAAGACATCTGCCTAGTAACTTCATGTCTGTGTGGTTTAGAAGAACAGATATGGCAAGTCTCCCCTTGCTCCATCCCAGATAATAATTGTGGCTCTCATGCTGCTGCATGTACTCGCACTTGAGCTGGCCACACTGGTCCAGATCCTCAAAGGTATTTAGGCATCAAACTCCCTTTGAAATCAAATTGATGCAGCAAATGCATACATACGCAGATAAAATATGATTATTTCTGTACCTGGATAATAGCATACACCAGGGTCCTGTTGACTGTCAAAAGAATTCAATAAACTCAGAAGTCTTAGAACAAGTGCATGGTGGTACCTATGTTTGCTATAATACATAAACTGCTTGTTTCTTGATAGTTGACAAGATTAAGTTAGTTTTGTAACTAGTGCCCGAATATATTGCAACAGAACACCAAATAATACTTGAACTACAAAATTCTGAAAGGGAAATAATTTGCTTCTTTTTTAAATTGATGTATCATCCAGATAAGGTCAATTAACTTCTTAATTTTTATTTTTTGTTTTTTACTTAGCCTGTCTTGGGCACTAATCACATAACTGGGTCTATGGGTGGCCTGAGTTTGCAACCAGAAGGATTAAGATCTATCAACCTTCTTCAAGAAAGAAATATTCTTCCTACAACACCTTTGCAGGCTCCTGTCCCAAACTTGCATGAAGAAATCCAGAAGCTCAACTGTAATCCAGAGTAAGGTTTCCCATTAGCTATAATTTATCAAAAGAAATGGAAATAAGAACTATTCCTCAGTTTTAAAAAAGTCCTTGGGGTCTAAAAATCAGCATATAAAATTCTTACATTCCTGAAATATTTGCTTAGTTTTTTTGGATACTGCTAGTAATTGTTTGGAAAGCAGCTTCATTTTTATTAAAATAATGAAAGATGAAAAATGGCTTAATTTTTTTACTTTAAAAAAGATGAGTAAAGTATAGACCAAAGTGCAAACACTGCTCTGGACACATTCCAGGTATAAGCCAAATAGATTCATTCGTGTCTTAAACTATTCCTCATAATCTCTCTTCATAGTTTATACTTACTTCAGCAAAACTTCTGGTGTTCAGTTGATCAGAGGAGAGTGAAATGCAAGTCCATAGCAGCTTTTATTGCTGTCAGTCAGTTACCTCTCTCCCTCTCAAGTGAAAAGGAGGATTCATATGTTCTCGCTGGAAAAATTCCTCTGGGAACATTGTAATGTCTTAGAAGTTTGTATGAAAGTATATTGTAGTTTATATAAGATAATATCAATTACTAAATCTTCTTCTAAACCCTGTTTTTAGAACACTTTTGGTAGACGATATCCCTCCTTTTGCCCTTGCTCTGTCAGAGACCTAAAAATAGGTTTGATGAGATTAGTTGGATAACTCCCATCAATGACCTCATCTCCTCTTATAAACAGGGGATTCCTTGAGTGTAATCCTTTTTTCCAGGATATAGATCTGGTTAGTTATCTAACCAGCTGAAATTATTTCTCCACTCACCTCAACATATATATCATATTTTGAGATAGTCATGCCTAACTCCATCATATCCATTAGACAAAGATCAGTGCTTTGAAGTACTTAGGATCTTCTGTTCTAAGGCTAATGACTAGGCCTTCTCCTGCTACAATATGTAACTGTGATATGTGACACTATCTACAGCAATATAAACACAATAAATACAAAACTGTGTTTAAGCCATCTGATAAAATGAGTCTGCAGTGTGCATCTCCAGAGTGGATTGTGATCCACCTTGTGGGAACGTGGTCAAAGGCCTGGTACTTTCAAGGCACTTGGATAGGTGTGATAGAACCCAAGAGTTACAACCGGCAAGAAACAAAAGTCAAAAACATAATGGATTCTGCGTAATTGTAGAAGTAGAAATTAAGTCATTTAAATAAGGCAAAGCAAATAATAATAATAATAATAATCTTGAACGTACATTACATTTTGAACTCTGTGCCAGAGGTAACCAGTGAAAAGTTTTAAATAATGGAGTAAATGGTTGGCTAAACAGAAGGCTAGCAACGTAGTGTGTACTATAATCTAACTGAGAAAACCTTGGCAATATTATCAATTTACATATAACCAAAGATACCCTTTTGATGTCTATCTGAGAAGTCTAACTTGGGGTTAAGTAACCTGTATGTAAGTTTTGTATTTGTTTGTAACAGAATGTGTTAGGGGCCAATATACTTATTCCACTCAACCAAATGTATACAATTTAGGAGAAACAAGGTACGTGTGATGGTTATGCCTTGGATTCAAACAGTTCAGGTTGAAGTTGCAGTGGATTTGGCATAAAGCTGGAGCGGGTATTCTGTCAGGAAATAGTAATTCACTGCTATCAACTGTGAAAAGAAAATATAAAAGATGCTATGTACTACTTAAATAACAATGTTATTCTCTGAAAGTCTGAAAATAACCCTTTATCTTTCATGTAGGTTGTTCCGATGTACCCTGACTAACATTCCTCAAACTCAGGCCTTATTGAATAAAGCCAAACTTCCTTTGGGACTCCTGCTTCATCCTTTCAAAGACCTATCGGTATGATGAAATATTCAAAGCTTTAAATACTGTAGTGTCAGCTATACCTGTACTAGAGTTCAGTAACAGATAACTCTATAAGAGGCAAATGTCTCAGATAACCTTGGGCCCAGGAAAAAAACCTCCCATAGAAAACTGTTTAGTCATCTTGCTTCTGCTCCATGAAAACCAGTGTCCTCTTTTTAAATATCTGCCCCCACTGTTACAGTCCCTAGCCTCATCTTAAATGATTTTGGAAGCTGAGGTGCAGTACACCACTCAAACTATAATGAAGTGAGTTAATATATTTTAATATTGGTATAGCTTGTGTAGTTTTACCTTGTCACCTAATCACCAGCTGTAGCCATTGATTTCTTCCTATACTCCAGTTCCCTGAGCACTAACTCTTATCAAAGTCAAAAACTGAGACTCAGATGGCCTCAGACCTCCTTTAAGCCATGTATTACTTGGATTTAATTTGCTACTATTGCTGCTGTTCCAGATAAGTGTGATTTTTGGTGGTGGTGAAGTGATCACTAGAGTCATAAGGAAGGCAATGTGGATTCAATTACTATAAATTCATATGGGTCCCACAGCCTGTTACTTCCACAGTTGACTTCAATTTCTAACATACATCTTTATATAATGTCTGTTTCTGCAGTGCTGAGTTGGGGGACAGTGTTCAGTTTATTTTAAAAAAGACAGAAAATACAAAATTAGACATGCGATTGAGAGGTTTATCATCTTTTTTGAAAAAGAAACATACACAGCTAAGTAGGTTAGAGCCTGAATTTAACCAGCCTTTCTAACAGTTAAAGTTTTGGGGGCACCATGTGGATTGGGGTATTTTCTTCCTCTATTCTGTTTAAGTGAGAGTTGCATTTAGGCTGGCTAACCTGAGAGCACAGAGAAGATAGTATTACTATTGTAGATATGTCATAAGCATCTTGCTTTGGGGTTTTAAAGCAGAAGTTCCTCTTTTCCAGCAATTACCTGTGGTCACCTCCAGTACAATTGTGAGATGTCGTTCCTGCAGGACATATATTAACCCTTTTGTCAGCTTTCTAGACCAAAGGAGATGGAAGTGCAACTTGTGTTATAGAGTGAATGATGGTAAGTTTTAAACCAATGAGCCCACTTAAACATTCATGTCAACTTTTGAATTTGACTTCTACCAGTATTCCATCAATACATTTTTTTCCTGACATCTGAGGTCTGCTGCTATACGTCTGATCCTTCCCAGACCAGCATTGTGTGATGTAGGGAGTCTTCCACTAACGGACCAAGATGTAATCACTAAAGAGCTTCATTGGGTTTGAAACAATCTCCAAATGTGAAATATTATTGTACTAACTTGCTGCCCTACTTAGTACCCCCTATATATTTCCTCTTACACAGTATCTCACTGCAGATACAGCATGGTTACTCAGACATGTCTGTGCTAAATCCTAGCGCAGTTAATATTAGTGTACGTTAGTGTGAATTGTAATAATATTATAATTTTCATTTTATCTAGTTCCTGAAGAATTCATGTACAATCCTGTGACAAGAGTATATGGAGAACCTCATAAAAGACCTGAAGTTCAAAATGCTACTATTGAGTTCATGGCTCCCTCCGAATACATGGTGAGGTTTTGTTTCTTCCTCTTAAACTTTTATATATTGCTTTAATGTCTAGGGGCTCCAATCAGAAAAGATCCCTATTTTTTTTTTTTTTAACCCTCATGGTGTCTGCATGTGTTCACACCCAGGGTTTCTTATACTAATGTACTGCAACTTCAACACAATGTTTTCTTGACTTAATATCAAGAAAAATTGCACACAATCATTGCTTGCACTTCTGTTTTTGGTAGATGAGTAAAAGTCATTTGATTGTTCTCACCAGTAGTATATCTGAGATTGATCAATTTTGTAGTCTTCTGCAGTTATAGCTGTAGGTGCCAGTGGTTCCTTTACCTTTACCAATACCTTTTGTGTTTTGATCTTGAATTATGACAAGTTTTTGGACCTCACCCCTCTAATATAAAGAAATGTTTTTTGTCTCTCTCATACTCTCACAAAACCCAGATGTATTCAGGACCCCTAAGCTGAAAACCCCTGGCATAGGACGCCATGATCTAGTTTCTGTTAACATGCCTGGCGTGTTAAGGCAAAGAATCTTAAATAATATATATAAAAAATTGTGGTTCCATCTTCTAAATGTTAATCTTTATTTCTGGTTCATATTAGCTCTTAATATTTTTGTAATGAAAAATATTGGAAAATTTTGTCATTATTGTGGCTTAAACTGTACTTAAGATGATAGAGTTGTACTAAAACCACTGGGTAATAGACTAAGAGTCCAGTCCTGCAACCTTTGCATACCTGAGTTCTCCTATTGACTTCAGTGAGTGTTTGGATAAAGGTTGCAGAATCTGCTCCTTAAGCATTACCAGCTAAACTAAACTAATGGTGATGAAATGTATCGTTGTGTCTGCACTTTTCTGAAGTAACTTGTGTGTCATCTAGATTGGAAAATACCAGTTCTGAGAACTTGGGGAAGACAGCTTGTTAAAGGGACAACATCAAATCAGATACATTGAAGTACAAATTAATTTGTTCAAAATACCTTAGGTTTTAAAAAATTAATACTTTAGAAAGCTAACATAAATATTCATATATTTTTTCCTTGCATTATCTCAACTTGGATTATAACTAGTCACTTCTGGATTACTATCAGATTCTCGTATGCTATCAGGATGCTCCACTGTTTGGGTTACAAATATTGCTGTGGAACGGTCAAAAAAAGTCCCTTGGTAATCTTTAAATTACATGGGAATATTCTTGTTGACTCTGGATTTTGTAAAATCTTATTTTTACAAACATCAGTTTCAGGCCAAATTTGATCTGACAGTTTCACTTCAGCAAGGACTAGAATTTATCCCATATGTTTTTCCTCCGTATTTCCTACTGTACTATCATTGCTTATTTGTCCGCTATTACACAAATGAGAGAGATTTCTATTTTGGGGATGTGTTCTGAGTGATGCAATGTAAACCTACAGTATAACCAATAAACTGAGACTGACAATTTCAATCACTGGACATTAAAAATCTCTTGTTTTTTTTTTAGCTACGTCCACCTCAACCTCCTGTGTATCTCTTTGTGTTTGATGTCTCCCACAATGCAGTAGAAACAGGATACTTGAATACAGTCTGCAAGACCTTATTAGACAATCTTGACTTGTAAGTTTTGGTTCTCGTTTCAGAATTTAATCTTTTTTCCTTATATTTCTAGTATTTTCTTTGTGGAAATGTTTTTTGTGATCCTTGAAACTAGTTTAATGTTGTGTGAACAGGATTTTAATTTAGTCCATTTATGACCCAGAGAGGAAAATTTTCAAAGTACTGCATAGGAATTAGCCTTAAATTCAGTTCTTATCAAATGTAGCTGTCAGTCTGATTATACAGCTTCTTGGTTTTGCTTTAATGCAAAAAATGCATAAGAATATCATAGGTTTGCTTTGAACAAAGATTTGGAACTATGGCGTTAGAAACAGTAATTCAGTGTGCACTCCTTGCAACAAATGCACATACATGTCTATAAAGCTTTGCATGAGACACAAGTTGGGTGAGGTAATATCTTTTATTGGACCAACTTCTGTTGGTGAGAGAGACAAGCTTTCAGGCTTACACAATGATCCTCCTCAGGTCTGGAAAATGTGTCTATACATACATGCACACAAGGTAACAGTTTGTAGCTACTCCCACTATGAACTTGTGTAATGCTTTACATCTTTTACTCCTGGGGGAATTCAGCGCCTTAAAATTAAAAATTACGTGCACAGTATTTTATAATTCTGCATATTTTATTTTTCAAAATAACAATATAATCACACCAGTTTCAATTATTTTTGGTGATTTATTTCAAAATACCTGTCAGCAAGTATGTCTGTAACAATACAGACAACAAAAAAGATTCAGGAAATGTTTTTTGACAAATAGATTCCTAATCATGGCATATTAATACAGAACTCTGAATAATAATTCATTTAAACTACAATACAGAACCGTATTTCCCACACCCCTCAGAAGCAGTGCAAAGGCTTGGGGGAGTCAGGAGTAACAGAGGAGCTGAGGGAGGGGGAAATAAATTGCTGGAAAGGAGCCTGGGTGTGAACTTGGATGCTTGTTGGGTATGGGTGGGAAGAGTATGGAACAGGTTTTTTGGGGGAGGCGGGGAGGGATTATTAGGGAGCTTCCCCCATGCAGACGACAGGTTGAATTTCCATAGGGGTCCACAACTCCATTCAAAATTTTTTAGGGGTCCACAAATGAAAAAAGCTTGAAAAACCGTTGATTTAGAGTAAGTCTCAACACAGGTAATGTCAGTTTATTGCTGTAAAATAGCTCAAAGCCAAACCATAAACAAATTTCAGTACTGCAGTTGTTCTGACATTACCTGTGTTGAGACTTACTCTAAATCAACGGTTTTTCAAGCTTTTTTCATTTGTGGACCCCTACAAAATTTTGAATGGAGTTGTTGTTGAGGGGTGGGGGAGTGTAAGCATTAGCCTGAGAATGATGCAATGGATATTGCAGAAACTATATTTCCCAGCAGGAATAAAATGTCCCTCTACCTTATGTCATTGTAATAGCTCTGAGAGAACGTACTTGCACTTGAACAGTGTAGGCTAACTAAAATCGACTTGCTGAACACTTTGTTTTTGATTTTTAGGCTTCCTGGGAACACTAGAACAAAAATAGGCTTTATAACATTTGACAGCACAATCCATTTCTACAGTCTTCAGGAAGGTCTCTCTCAGCCTCAGATGCTAATAGTTTCAGATATTGAAGGTATGTAAGAATAACATCTAAATTGAATTTTTATAAAATGATACCTAATGATTTTGACATACTATGTTGGCACAGTCTAGAACTCTAAATACTAAGATGGGTGAAACAAGAGTGCCTTGCATTAAATTAGGATATTGACATAATTAAGATTACAGAAACTTGCTGGAATAAGGATAATCCATGGAACATGGTAATATCAGGGTACAAAATTTATAGAAGTGATTGTAGGTCACACAGTTGGGGGAATGGCACTATGTGAAAGAAAGAATAGAGTCAAATATAGTAAAAATCTTAAATGAATTGAACTGTACCATAAAATCTCTAAGAATAGAAATTCCATGCTTGGACAATAAGAATATAGCAATAGTAATATACTACCGACCAGCTGAATGTGACAATGACTGTGAAATGCTTAGGGAGATTAGAGAGGCTGTGAAGCAGAAAACTCAATAATAATGGGGCATTTCGGCTATCCTCATATTGACTAGGAACATTTCACTTCAGGAAGGAATGCAGAGATAAAAAATTTAGATACCATAAAAGACTGCTTCTTGAAACATCTTGTCCTGGAACTTAAAAGGGGAGGGGCAATTCTTGATTTAGTCCTAAGTGGAGTACAGGATCCGGTTTGAGAGGTGAATATAGCTGGACCGCTTGGTAATAACCATAATGTAATTAAATTTAACATCTTTGTAGGGGGGAAACGTCAAAGAAATTCACTATGGTAGCATTTAACTTAAAAAAGGGGAACTACACAAAAATGAGGAAGCTAGTTAAACAGAAATTAACACAAATAATCACAAGGGTGAAATGCCTGCAAACTGCCTGGAGACTATTTAAAAACACCGTAATAGAGACTCAGACTATATCAGGGGTTCTCAAACTGGGGGTCGTGACCCCTCAAGGGATCGTGAGGTTATTACATGGGGGGTCACGAGCTGTCAGCCTCCACCCCAAACCCCGCTTTGCCTCCAGCATTTATAATGGTGTTAAATGTATAAAAAAGTGTTTTTAAGGTATGGGGGGGGTCACACTCAGAGGCTTGCTATGTGAAAGGGGTCACCAGTACAAAAGTCTGACTATATGTATACTCCACATAAAAACCCCCCAAAAATGCCACCATGACTAAAAAGTAGAGTGAAAGAGGCACTTAGAGCCAAAAAACATCTTTTAAAAGTTTGAAGTCCAATCCTTCTGAGGAAATTAGAAAGGAGCATAAACTCTGGCAAGTCAAGTGTAAAGTTATAATAAGGCAGGCCAAGAAAGAATTTGAAGAGCAACTAGCTAAGGACACAAACATTTTTTTGCCATTAGTTTTTAGGTACATCAGCAGCAGGAATTCTGCAAAACAGTCAGTGGGGCCTCTGGATGATCGAGATGCTAAAAGAGCACTCAAGGAAGATAAGGCCATCATGGAAAAGCTAAATGAATTCTTTGCATTGGTCTTCAATGCAGAGGATATGGGGGAGATTCCTACACCCGAGCCATAAATAGCAATAAGTCGCCGGGACCAGATGGTATTCACCCAAGAGTTTTGAAGGAATTCAAAAATAAAATTGCAGGTGTACTAACTGTGGTATGAAACTACCATGTAAATCAGTCTCTGTACCAGATGACTGGAGGGTAGCTAATGTAGCTAATAATTTTTAAAAAGGCAATTACAGGCTGGTAAACCTAACTTCAGTACCAGGCAAACTGGTTGAAACTATGCCAGAGAACAGAATTATCAGACAATTAGATAAACACAATACGTTGGTGAAGACTCAGCACAGCTTGTGTAAAGGAAAATCATGCCTCACCAATCTATTAAATTCTCTGAGGGAGCCAATAAGCACGTGGACAAGTGTGATCCAGTCAATATAATGCACTTAGATTTTCAGAAAACCTTTGTCAAAGTCCCTCACCAAAGGCTGTTAAGCAAACTAAGCAGCCATGGGCTAAGAGGGAATGTCTTCTCATGAGTTAAAAGACAGGAAACAAAGGGTAGGAATAAATGCTCAATTTTCACAATGGAGAGAGGTAAATAGTGGGGGTCCCCCAAGAATCTGTATTGGGACCTGTGCTGTTCAACATATTCATAGATGGTCTAGGAAAGGGAGTGAACAATGAGATGGCAAAATTTACAGACAATACAAAATGAAGATAGTTCAATCCAAAATTGACTGCAAAGAGTTACTAAATTGGGTGATAAAATGGCAGATGGAATTCAGTGTTGATAAGTGCAAAATAGTGCTCACTGGAAAACATAATCCCAACTATACATACAAAATGATGTCTAAATTAGCTGTTACCATTCAAGAAAGAGATCTTGGAACCATCGTGGATAGTTCTCTGAAAACATCAGCTTGATGTGTAGCAGCAGTCAAAAAAGCTAACAGTGTTAGGAACCCTTAGGAAAGGGATAGAAAATTAAACAAAAAAAATCATAATGCCACTCTATAAATCCATGGTATGTCCACACCTTGAATACTGCATGCAGTTCTGGTCACTCTATCTCAATAAAGAGATATTAAAATTGGAGAAGGGCAAGACAGATGATTAAGGGTGTTAGAACAGCTTCCATTGAGAAGAGATTAAAAAGACTGGGACTGTTCAGCTTAGAAAAGAGATGACGAAGGAGGGATACGGTAGAGGTCTATAAAATCATGAACGGTGTGGAGAAAGTGAATATGGAAGTGTTTACTCCTTCACATAACACACAAAGTAAGAGTCACCTGGTGAAATTAATAGGCAGCAGGTTTCAAATAAAAGGAAGTACTACTTCACACAACGCACAGTCAGCTTGTGTGGAACTTGTTACCACAGCGCATGCTGTGAAGGCCAAAAGTATAACTAGGTTCAAAAAGTAATTAGATAAATTAATGGAGGATAGGTCCATCAATGGCTATTAGCCAAGATGGTCAGAGAAGCAACCCCAAGTTCTGTGTCCCTAAGCCTCTGGGGGTGCATCTACACTGGACTAAAAGGGCTGTGGCTAGCACGGGTCAGCTGATTTGGGCTGCAGGGCTAGAAATTGCTGTGTAGACATTTAAGCTCAGGCTTGAGCCTGGGCTCTGGAAACGTACCCTGACTGCCGCCGGCTGGGACTGGACAACTGGGAACGGACCACTTGATGATTGCCCTGTACTGTCCATGGTCAGAGACAGGATATTGAGCAAGTAGAGTTGTTCTTATGTTCACATATGCAGGGAGTTGCCAGATCAGATCACTAATTCATCTAGCAGTGGCCAGCACCAGATGCTTCAAAGAGTAGTGAAATCTATTTAATGTATCTAGGGTCTCAGCTAAGGCCCATTAAAGTTAATTGTTCAATGCTGTAGTAGGGCTTCTTTAGTGGCCTTAACAGGTGATCTGTTCATGACCTGAAACATGAAGTCAACTTTCCTGGCATTCTAGTTTAACTCCTAAAATTATCTAAACTTTGTATTACAATCCTGTTTTAACTATTGATCTCAATAGCTTCAATATAATTCCTAAGTGGCTGTATGATGCTTAAAAGATTTTTTTCTTTTACTCTTAATTGTATTGCCATTTAATTTAAAATGTCCTTTCATTGCATAGTGTTGGATAGGGTAAATAATACAAACATGAGCACCTGATAGTTTTTCACAATACTTTTGTTTTACAGGCCGTGTTCTTATCCTCTTTTACTCTTTTGCTTTTCATGCTAAATAATCAGTATCTCAAATTGAAATGCAAGGGATTGCACAGGTATAACTGAGGGCAGAATAAGACCCAGACTGATCTGAAAACTAGCTGAAATGTTTTCAGATAGCTTTAATCGGTTCATTTTTCTGCTCTTCCAGATGTGTTTATACCAATGCCAGAGAACTTATTAGTAAACTTAAATGAAAACAAAGAGGTAAGACCTGTCTTAAACTGTTTAGGTGACATTCAGGCAATATGAAGTGCATTTGATAACTTGTACAGTACTTAATGAAATAATGTACTTAAATCACACTTGTCTGAATTTCTTGTCTACTTATATTACAAAAATTACTGTAACTGAAGTAAATGGAAATATTTTGTTCAGTTTTACTTTGTGCATTTAATTGCGTTGTATGTAATTAGTGTTGCTGTTTCCCCTGTGTAGTCAGCTAGTTTCTCTGTGGAGACTCATCTTTCTTTAGAAAAACAAACAAGCAAGCAGAGAATTGCCAAATCACTTTTAATTGGTTACATTTCAAGTTAATGGTGGCCTTTAAATATCTTAGGTCTCTTTATTTAAAGATAAGGGAATCAATGCGTGTCTCTTACTAGATGAAATAACTTAAAATAAGGGCTGTCGATTAATCGCAGCTAACTCATGCGATTAACTCAAAAAATTAATCGTGATTAATCGCAGTTTTAATCACATTGTTAAACAATAGAATACCAATTGACATTTATTAAATATTTTTTGATGTTTTCTACATTTTCAAATATATTGATTTCAATTACAATACCGTATACAAAGTTACAGTGCTCACTTTATATTTATTACAAATATTTGCACTGTAAAAATGATAAACAAAAGAAATAGTATTTTTCATTCACCTCATACAAGTATTGTAGTGCAGTCTTTTTCGTGAAAGTGCAACTTACAAATGTAGATTTTTTTTGTTACATAACTGCACTCACAAAAAAAAAATACGTAAAACTTTAGAGCCTGCAAGCCCTCAATCCTACTTCTTGTTCAGCCAATCGCTAAGACAAACAAGTCTGCTTACTGTTACGGGAGATAATACTGCCCGCTTCTTATTTACGACGACACCAGAAAGTGAGAACAGGCGTTCACGTGGCACTTTTGTAGCCAGCATTGCAAAGCATTTAATGTGCCAGATATGCAAAACATTCGTATGCCCTTTCATGCTTTGGCCACCATTCCAGAGGATGTGATTCCATGCTGATGATGCTCGTTTAAAAAAAAAATGCATTAATTAAATTTGTGACTGAACACCTTGGGGGAGAATTGTATGTCTCCTGCTCTGTTTTACCCGCATTCTGCCATGTATTTCATCTTATAGCAGTCTCGGATGATGCCTCAGCACATGTTCATTTTAAGAGCACTTTCACGACAGATTTGACAAAATGCAAAGAAGGTACCAATGTGAGATTTCTAAAGATAGCTACAGCACTCGACCCAAGGTTTAAGAATCTCCTTCCAAAATCTGAGAGGGACGAGGTGTGGAGCATGCTTTCAGAAGTCTTAAGAGCAACACTCCGATGCCGAAACTACAGAACCCAAACCACCGAAAAAGAAAATCAGCCTTCTGCTGGTGGCATCTGACTCATGATGATGAAAATGAACATGCGTAGGTCTGCAGTGCTTTGGATTGTTATTGATCAGAACCCGTCATCAGCATGGATGCATGTCCTCTGGAATAGTGGTTGAAGCGTGAAGGGAATAAGAACCTGTAGCGCATCTGGCACGTAAATACCTTGCAATGCCAGCTACAACAGTTCCATGTGACCGCCTGTTTTCATTTTCAGGCGACATTGTAACAAGAAGCGGGCAGCATTATCTCCTGCAAATGTAAATAAACTTGTTTGTCCGAGCGATTGGCTGAACAAGTAGTAGGACTACATTTGTAAGTTCAACTTTCATGATAAAGCGATTGCACTACAGTACTTGTATTAGGCGAATTGAACAATACTATTTTTTTTGTTTTTTACAGAGCAAATATTTGTAATAAAAAATAAAGTGAGCACTATATACTTTGTATTTTGTTTTGTAATTGAAATCAATATATATGAAAATGTAGAAAATATCAAAAAATATTTAAATAGTCTTTTTTATTATTGTTTAACAGCACAATTTAATCACAATTAATTTTTTTAATCGCTTGACAGCCCTGCTTAAAATGTTGGCAAGTTTTGCCATATTGAATTCCTAGGTTTTTGTGCTAGGGATCTTGTTTTATTAGAAGCGGTAGGTTATGGAATACTGTAGAATGTCACTCTAGGTAAAACCTGAGAGCTTACACATGGACACTTGGTTATGGTGGCAGTTCACATACCTCCAATTAGTTTGGAGCAGATTTGGTACTTTCTTCCCAGGCATTGTTGGATGAGAGTAATACATCCACTCTGCTCAGAAAGGAGCATGTGTGTATCAACACTGAATGTGAGTAGTAGATGACAGACTAGGAAAAAGTGAATTATTTAACTTTGAAAAGTTGCTTTGGTCACCTGAGGCAAAATGTTCAAAATAACTCTTAATTAGTTCCTACAGTTTTGGAAATGCTAAATTTCAAGTGAAAAAGTAGAGGTCAGATAGAAAGCCAGATTTTAAGAGGCCTCAATGCTGGCTGGGTGCTGTAAAACAGCAAACTACCCTCACATCTTGTTTTAAGGTATTAAATGTTACTTTTTTGCGTATGTATTTAATTTATCTCTTTAATACCTGCAGTACTCAATGTTACATGCATAATAAATAGCCTGTGCAACAGAGGAGAAATCTCTTCTGAAACGTTTTAATTCTGAGTAACTATTTACTTTATATCAGCTAATTCAAGATTTACTGAGGACCTTGCCACAGATGTTTACCAAATCCCTGGAAACACAGAGTGCTCTAGGACCTGCGCTGCAGGCCGCCTTCAAACTGATGTCTCCCACTGGTGGTCGAATTTCAGTCTTCCAGACACAGCTTCCATCTGTAGGAGTGGGATCACTGAAATCCCGAGAAGAACCTAACCAAAGAGCATCTGCAAAGGTTACAAAAACACTCTTAAACACAGATTATGAAAATTTACAATCCTGTTGCATGAGTTTATATAAATTTTGAATGGCATGGTTTGGATTATCTTAGTTTTATTGTAGTTCTGTTGTGAGAGCTGACATTCTTATACTGTATTAATCAAATGTTACTAACAAGGAAACCTATAAACCCAGAGTAATGCTCTGATTTTGAAAGATAATGAGCACTCAGAACAGCCATTGAAGTCAGTGTGAGAGATGCAGTGAGCATCCCTGAAATTAGGTCACAGGAGTGTGTGCCTTTTGGAATTCCTCTTTTCTATTTCCTTGTATTAACAGGACATACATCTTACACCATCCACTGACTTCTATAAGAAGTTAGCCTTGGACTGTTCAGGGCAGCAGGTTGCAGTTGACTTGTTCCTTCTTAGTGGGCAGTATTCTGACTTGGCTTCATTAGGTAAGTCATTATAAGCTGCTTTTTAAGATTGTAGCTTCGGTGTTCTACGGGACACTGTGTAATGCTAAAAAAAAAAAAATTAATTTTGCTCTTTCACTTACGCATATGCTACCATTTTAATGTAATGGTTGGTATTGGCAACCATGCCCAAGAGGGCTACCTATGAGATTGCATGTTCCCCTATCCACTGTTTGACATTTCTATGGGTAGAGATTATGGTATTTCATTTTAGGAGTTTGAGGACAAGCTAACTAGCCTGTTTTCTTCTTACCTGAGGGCTGAGATTTTCTCATCTCTTAGACCATTGTCAGGACTTGTTCCCTATTACTAGACAAAAATCAGAGTTCTAGAAATATTTAAACAAAGTCCTGTTTAACAAATAGAAATATGTTTAAACTATCTGGATATAATCTCATCATTTCCAGATTCTGAAAAGCCTCACTAGTGTGGGCCGTGAGACGACTTCTTAAAAAAAATTAAAAATTGGTAGCTATATCCTTGTATGGCAAAGAGTTCATAGCTCAGTATCTGATTGTGTCTGTTGGCGGCTCAATGACAGAGTTCTGTTTACAAAACTTGACCCTTTTCCCCCTAGATCGTGTCCTACATTTGTACAAAGAGGATTTCCCTTTGTTCTGGACATAAACATATGTCAGATACCATGGTGATAAGCACAGTATAAGAACCTGAATAGGGTGAATAGCAGGGGTGGGGAACCTTTTTCTTACCAGGGGCTATTGACCCACAGGAAAAATCAGTCGTGGGCTGCGCACAGGCTTGGGGTTTCCCCCTGCATCGGGGCGAGCTGCGGAGGCTCGGGGCTTCTGCTAGGCTCCGGGGTGGGGCCAGAAATGATGGATTCAGGGTGCAGGAGGGGGCTCCGGGCAGGGGGTTGGGGTGTGGGATGGGGATGAGGACTCCATCTGGGGGTACAGGCTCTGGGGTGGGGCTGGGGATGAGGGGTTTGGAGTGCAGTTGGGGGGGTTGGGCTGGGGCCAAGGGGTTTGGAGTGTGGGAGTGGACTCAGGGCTGGGGTAGGGGGTTGGGGTGCGGGCTCCAGGAGGGAGTTTGGGTGCAGGAGGGGGCTCAGGGCTGGGGCAGGAGGTTGGGGTGTGGGGTCTGGGAGGGAGTTAGGGTGTGGGAGGGGATTCTGACCTAGGGCAGGGGATTTGAGGTGCAGGCTCCGGCCGGGCGGCACTTACCTCAGGTGGCTCCCGGGCGGTGTTGCACTGGAGCTAAGGCTCCCTGCCTGCCCTGGCTCCTCGCAGCTCCCAGAAGCGGCCGGCATGTCCTGCCCCTAGGCGGAGGGGCCAGGGGGCTCTGTGTTGGGTGCACTGCCCATGCCCACAGGCGCTGCCCCCACTGCTCCCATTGGTCATGGTTCCCGGTCGATGGGAGCTGCGGCGCTGGCACTGGGTTCAAGGGGCATCATGTGGAGCTTCCCTGTTCGCCCCTGATTCTAGGAGCCGCAGGGACATGCCAGTCGCTTTTGGGAGCTGCACGGAGCCGACTGCACTTTTAACAGCCTGGCAACCCTAACTTCTCCCCGCAGCAGGGTGAGCCAGTGCTCGCAGCTCCAGCACCGCAGAGGGGCGCCGGGGCTTGGTGCTTCCGGCCCATAGCGCGGAGACTTGCCACGGGCCACATGAAATTAAGTAGCGGGCCGTAGGTTCCCCACCCCTGCTGGGTAGGATGGAATTTCACGTTGAGATGACTCCACCCTTAATGCATAATGACATTGTTAGTGAGACATAATATTACAACTTCCTTCTGGTTAGCATGATAGTTTCCAAGACGCTCTTCCCCCTCGACTTGTAGGAGTATTTCAAAGAATTACTTTGATTCTGGAATAAGGTGCGAGTCATCTGAAAGAATTTATTTTCATTCTTACCTCTCAATGTATGATGGAGTAAACACCTTTACAGGAGCAAGCTTTGTTACCATTTTAATTACTTTCTCACCCCCAACGTATCCTCTGATTTCTGTTCCTGAGTGGCGTGGTACCATCTTTCCTTTAGACCAATTTTAAATCCATTTCACACTTTATAACCTTCATAATCTAGTGAACATGCAAGTTATTGGTCACATCTACACATTATATCTAGGCCTATACCTGTGTAGAATAAGGTTATTAATGTTAAACTGTTCATGCTTGTAAATAAATTTACAAGGAGAATTAGGTTATCTGAACCGATATTTTAAGACCGCAGCAACAACTGTTGGTTTGAACTCCACCAACGCACATTTTCTATTCTAGGCTGTATATCGAGGTATTCAGCAGGAAGTGTGTATTACTATCAATCTTACCATCATCAGCACAACCCTGTCCAGGTGGAGAAATTACAGAAAGAGCTGAAACGATACTTAACTAGAAAGATTGGCTTTGAGGCCGTCATGAGGATAAGATGCACCAAAGGTCTGAATAGAATCTTTTTTGCATAGTTTATTATTTAAAAATGATTTATTGGTATTTTGTTTTTATATAATCCTGAATGAATAGTTGGCAAATATGTACATGTAAAATCAGGCATTATGAATCCAACTGTACAAAAGAAAGCAGAATTAGTAGAACGGCACAAAAGAGTTTATCTATCAAGGTGCAGTGGTGTTTAGGATCAGTATCTATGGCTTGCCAAGGCTAGAAATGGGTGCTTCGTTACCATGTACTTCCACATGCTCCTCAAGCAAAAATAAGGAATTCACAATTTAATATTCCTGCTACATGGTTTACTTTCAAAACTGTGTCCTACCCTGTGGTTAAACCAGAAGCCTGATTTTTTTTCAATTTTTCATAAGCTGAGAGGATAAAGGGAACTTTTTACTGTCTTGTACCTCCATCTAAAAATTATAAAGAAGCAACAGAAAAGCATTTGAACAGTGTATTGTAACAAGGCTCCTGTACCTTGGGTCTAACTGAATTCAACGTCCTGTATTTGTAATAGTGCTGTTGATTAATCACAGTTAACTCATGCGATTAACTCAAAAAAATCGTGATTAAAAAAATTAATCGCAATCATCACAGTTTTAATTGCACTGGTAAACAATAGAATACCAATTGAAATTTATTAAATATTTGGGGATGGTTTTTCTACATTTTCAAATATATTGATTTCAATTACAACACAGAATACAAAGTGTATAGTGCTCACTCTGTATTTTTTATTACAAATATTTGCACTGTAAAAAGATAAAAGAAATAGTATTTTTAATTCACCCCATACAAATATTGCAGTGCGATGTCTTTATCGTGAAAGTGCAACTTACAACTGTAGATTTTTTGTTTCGTTACATTGCACTCAAAAATACCAGTTATGTAAAACTTTAGAGCCTACAAGTCCACTCAGTCCTTGTTCAGCTAATCGCTAAGACAAACAAGTTTGTTTAAATTTACGGGAGATAATGCTGCCGACTCCTTATTTACAACGTAATCAGAAAATGAGAACAGGCGTTCGCATGGCGCTTTTGTAGCTGGCATTGCAAGTGCATTCATAAAACATTCTTCAACCACCACATCCAAAAATATTTAAATAAATGGTATTCTATTAATCGTGCTGTTAAACAATAATCGTGATTAATTTTTTTAATTTGCTTGACAGCCCTAATTTGTAACCCTTTTAGAACTAAACTACTGATTCCCAAGGGTAGTACTTGTATAGAAAAAGTACTTTACTGCGCTGTATATAGTATTTTCCCTTAAATGACTGATCCTATCATATATTCTATACTAGAAATATCAGCGCATTGTGACTTTCAGCCTCAAAGAGTTAAAGAAATTTGGAACATTATTAATCTTTGAGATGACTCGTATTCTGAGTGCTTGGTAGCCATTGGCTTTAGTGCATGCTACAAATTAATATGCAACGTGCAATATTTAAATTTACTAAAGGAACTGTATTTTGAAAAGGGTTTGTCCATAATCTAGAGTAGAACACAATCTAAAAATCAGGGCAACTATGTAATCAGTTCATAGTTCACATTAAATGGCAAAAGTAACATTAATAAAACCGATTACATGGTTTTTCCTTTCGTAGGTCTTTCCATTCATACCTTCCATGGGAACTTCTTTGTGCGATCAACAGACTTGTTGTCTTTACCCAATGTAAACCCGGATGCAGGATATGCTGTACAAATGTCAGTAGAGGAAAATCTCACTGACATGCCAGTTGTTTCTTTTCAGTCAGCACTACTGTACACATCCAGCAAAGGTAAGAAATGTAAACAGCATTGGCTGGTACAATGATATAATATGTTAGCTGCCATTGTGTGTAAATTCTTAAATTATAATCTAGTTTGCTTGTAGTAAGTAAATAACTTCAACTGCTTCTTCATATCCCCAATAAGAGAGGGTAGAGTACAAACATGCTAGCACACTCATTTCTCAGCTGCTGTTGGTGATAGTGGTTATTCATTATTCAGCAGCTGCATTTCAGGGGCTTACAGATTTGCTGAAAAACTTGCTCTAATCTGAAATGGGCAATTTTAGCCCAGAAATAAATTGGCCAAAGATAATAAATTGGCTGCTTAACAGGTGTTAATTTAAGATACTTGTGTGACAAGTTAATGGTGTGTAAAATCCATTTTATAAGTTATTTATCTAAAATATAGACTAATTGCTTTTGGTAAATTGAGCAAAAAAGATACTCTTAAATAAATTGACTTTAAAAATTAGAGTTACTGCAAATTTTAGTGTACAGGCTTCATTTTTGCTACATTTGTGATCCTCCCCTCCTCTCCCCTCCCAAAAAAAACACAGTTTAGATAATGGTGTGGAAAATGCCATTTGGCAACTACACAGATTTATTTTCTCCCTATAGGTGAAAGAAGGATTCGAGTCCACACTATGTGTTTACCTGTTGTTACAACTCTGAATGATGTCTATCTGGGGGCTGACGTACAAGCTATTACAGGGTTATTAGCCAATATGGGTAAGCATGATGCTCTTTGATGTACATGTGTAAAATATCTAAAACTTTTGAGGAATAATCCTTCAGGAAGGAAGATTACAAGGGAAGTATCCTATCTTCTGAATGGTTGAAGGCACTTCGCCACATGATTTACAGCTCCTCTGATGTGTGAGGACATCAGTACAACTGTATGTTGTCACCTTGTTTGATATGGCTTTAGAATTCTGCACATCAGAAGTTAGAGCAGCAATTAGGACTCCTGGATTTTTTTATTCTGGGCAGCACCATTAATGTTCCCATCCCTCTAGGCCTCTTGAAGGCACAGTAAAGCTCCATTAATGTGTGCTTGTAACCATCTTAAGATCCTGAGATGAGGAGCTATAGAAGTACACAATAATACGTGTCAGTAATTCCTAGAAAAGAAATAGGGTATAATTAGCTGTTAAACGTCTCTCTCTCTTTTGCTTTTTAGCTGTGGACCGGTCCGTTTCTGCTAGTTTAAGTGATGCTCGGGATGCCTTGGTGAATGCTGTAATCGATTCACTATCAGCTTACCGCTCTTCAGTCCTAAGCATTCAGCAGCCTGGTCTGATGGCTCCCTATTCCCTACGACTCTTTCCACTTCATGTACTGGCTCTCTTAAAACAAGTAAGAATGAAAATAAAATCTTTCCAGAGAATGTTATTTTTATATTCAGTATGTCAGTCTGAATGATGTATAAGTAAACATTTCAGTGAGATGATATTATATATGTAGGGTTTTGCCAACATTTGAAGGGGGGTGATTTCTTCATTGGTTTAGATCCAGTTTAATTAAAACCAGCCTTCTCTCCATATACTGTCACAGGAATTGAGGTTGTTCGGCATTTAAGATAACCTCTTCTGGTATAAATGGAACCGCTCTGGAACCAACTTCTTGTCTCACTTCTCCAGGCCCTGGATTTGGTGATTTCTTCTCCTCTCTCTCTCTCTCTCTCTCTCTCTCCCTCTCCCCCCCCCCCCCCTGCAAGTACCACTGCAAAGCAAGACTTGCTTGTTCACCTAGGCTTTCATTGGGGCCAACTGTAGTAGAAGATGGCTTGGGTGTCTGTCAGCCACCAACAAAGGGTTTTTTTAAAGTTATCATAATATCTAAATGTGACAAGTTACATATGTATAGGCTGTGTTTGTGTACTGTATCTAGAGCTTATGTCAGATGCATTTATCATACAGCTTCAATTTTTATGAACAATGTGGGGAGGTGGTATAGTTGTGGCGTGGAGTGTGTCATGACAGAAAGAAGGGGCCTCTGTTCCATGTATAGAGCTGCAGCAGTGTAGGATGGGGAGTATGGTGAAGAATAGCACCAGGGAGGTGGAGCTAGAGGGCAAGAAGTTTGGGTGCCTGAGAGTGCATTGGTATTGAGGCAGAAGTGGGCAGCCAAGAGAGGAAGCAAAGGAAAGTGGGAGCAGGGAGTAATATGGGGAGACTTGCCGTGATTGCCTGATACTCCTGACTGCTAGCCTGGGGAACATGCAGCAATTGCTGTTCAGTGTGGCTTTGAGGAGCTTCGCTCTGTGTGCTGCTGACAAGGCAAATCTATACACCAGCTTAATATGGGGTGTAGAGCAAGAGCTAAGTGCTAGCTTTCAAATAACTGATCTTTCCCTTTTCTAACAAAGGGGTTTGCAGCATTCCTGAGTCTTGTCTACACTATAAAAGGGAACAATTTCTGAAAATGGCTTTCAGCCGTGGGTCCCCCTGAACTAGTATAGAAAATGGTTAGTGTTAGGATAGATGGTTTACTCTTTCAGAATGCAGCATGATCAAGACCTGGTGGAATCATCTCATTCACACTTTCTCAAATGGTACTAAAAACCCTTGTCAAGTCTATACTATGGCTGTGTTTATGCTGGGGGAGATCTGATCTCTTTAATATAGACAAAGTCAAACACTTGAATGGTTTTCAATACTTGTTTGGGATGGGATCCTGCTTCAGCAGCAGTTCAGCTGTGCATTTACCAATGGAGTGCATTTACCATTAAGTCAGAACACCTCTGACAGAGATGTGCATTAGAGCCGAAGGATTAAGCATAACATGTCTTTGGATTGCGATTTTAAAGTATCATTATGTAGCTTCTTGAGACAAAGTAGTAAGCTAATTTTATTAAAAATCCATCTTAATATGTCATCATTCCAACTCCACTCTTCAGAAAGTGTTCTACAGACATAGGACCAACATATATTACAGTATGTTATGTCAGTGGTTCCAGAGTCCAAAGATACACTGCTTGAGTGATTAGTCACAAAGTTGTTTGCATATAAATAATATACGAAACTTGCTTTGAGTACAGATAATCAATTAAGAAATGCGGATAAATTAAGTAGGGGAGGTCACTGTAGTAATGAAGACTTTTTTATTATATTTTGAGATCAAAATACTTAAGGCTAAATTTTATGTGGGACTCAAAATATTTCTTAACGTAGTCTAGTGCTTTTCACTTGCTGACTTTGAATTAATAAATTAAAATATTTCAAATACTGGTTTTATTCACAGAAAGCATTCCAGACTGGGACAAATATCCGTTTAGATGAGCGTATTTTTACTATGTGTCAAGTGAAAAACCAGCCCCTAATTTTCCTCATGCTTATGACCCATCCCAATCTGTACAGAGTTGACAATCTCACAGATGAGGTATGAGTTTTTTTTACTTACTACACTTGTTCTGTGGTTGCTTGGTTCCAAACACCTTTATTTGTAGTCATGAATATGTATTGCATAGAAAACCCTTTAAATAAGAACTGTATTCTTCAAGGTATGTAGTCTGAGAGCTCACAGGCAGTCACAAGGTTAAAAGTTTTAAAGATACATCAAAGCAACCTATCCGTTAAAGGCAAACTGATAGGACAATTCCTTGGCACTTTAATTAAGTCACATGACATGAATCATGCATGTGTGTGTGACTATTAAGAAATTATAAAGACTGCCGCACTAAATTGCCACTCCATGTAATCCAGACTTATTCTAAATCAAGTTTTGCAGCAATAACTTGGAAGCAATACATTCATGAATTATAAATCGTGAGATGAGGGGTAGTTCCAGTGTTGGATTGCATTTCAGACTAAGTTGAAATGTGTAAAAGTTTACAAATACTGTAAACCATACATACATATAAGATGTAGCTCCATTATTTTCCAGGTTGTCTGTTGGGGGTGGTATAGATGGGCTCTGGAGGGAACATGTGGCTAACACCCCACTCTAGACACGATGTGGACTGGATTCTTTAGACAACCATTTTGAAAAATGTAGCTAGCATTCTGATTTGAAAATCGTCTATTACACTACAAAGCACATCCCCTTAAAAGGGGATATGCTGCAGCAGGAATGATGTGTTTCATACTGTTGTACAACTTCCTTTTTAAAATAAGTCCTGTCATTAGTTCCGTGAACAAGTATGTGTAGGAGTTACTCAGTGCAGGCAGACTAATTCTGTACATCCAGACTTTGAAGCCTAACATAACTGTATGAAGTTTTCAGAAGAGAATCAATTTCAATAAGACAAAATAGACTGATTTTTTTATAATAAAGTATGTTGTATCTGAATTTTAAGAATATAAAAGTCAGACCTCAACAGATGATGATGCTGCTGCACTTGGGTGCAAGGGGTATAATTTGTCCTTAATTGTTTTTACTAATAAAAATGTATTCCACTTGAATATTTTTCATTCCCGTCTGCCTTTTTTATCTATATATCTAGAGGCACACTTACATTGTAGCAATTTTTCTCTTTAGGGAGCCCTCAACATCAATGATAGAACAATACCTCAGCCACCCATTCTCCAGCTGTCCGTGGAGAAGTTGAGTAGGGATGGTGCTTATCTTATGGATGCTGGCTCTGTAAGTTAAAATTTTATATGAGCTTGTGGGTTTTTCTGAAGACTACTGAGCACTTTATATATACAGATGAGTATAAGGGTGTATGTATTGCATAGATTAATGCTGTCATTATCGGACTGTCTTGTAGGTAATGTTTATGTGGATTGGAAAGAATTGTGGACAGAATTTTATCAGCCAAGTCCTTGGAGTTCCAAGTTATGTATCAATACCACAGAATATGGTAAGTGCTTGCTTTGGTCTTAAATAAGACAAATAACTTTTTAAAATATAATATATCACCTGTATAAGCTAAAGAGCCTTTTAGAATTGTAGCTGATTATAATTAATTCCAGTTTCAGGAAAAGCTCACTTCCCCCATCATATGCCACTCTTCCTTAGGTTCCCCACTTAAAATAATCTTAATCCAGCTCTCTCACCATGAAACCACAATAAATAGAAGTTGATAACCATCAGTTAGATCCAGTAAAAGTCTGAGCAGATTGAGAATATTGGGACCAGGAAGGAGAGTGCGTTAGCTCACCAGCCCTCAGTTGCTGGAAAATTCAAATCCTAGTTTAGGTCACAAGTGAAAATGAATCTGTTAATGTAGTCCCAGTTCTGACAGCCAAAAGCCATTATTCAGTTTGGCACAATTGATAGTTTGTTCAAGGATGATCTGAGACTGAAATTGCAGTGGTATGTGGAACAGCTTCATACTAACTGTGCCTGCTTTATGCCTGATTACGATGCTTGGCCCTTTTCATTAACACTAAATTAACTCTGTCTCCTAAAGGCTGTGTGTGTTATACTATGTATTAATGATAACTTTTGTCTAATAGACGCATCTTCCAGAACTTGAAACAGCTGAATCTACCAGAACAATAGCTTTTATCTCTTGGCTGAGAGAGCAAAGGCCATTCTTCCCTATACTGTATATAATAAGGTAAGTTCTTTTTGACAACTCTAATACACAAGTATGCATGGTCATACTTGTATACATGCCTGCATAGTCATGTCAGCCACTGTAGTGACATATTTTATACTGTATTGCCCTCACACAAGATTTGTAAGAGTTGCGCATAGTGTGAATTGTAAATGCTTGAAAACCTGGCATGTGACTTTAACTTTTCTTGTTTTGTCATATTTTAATTTGTGGAGGTTTGATGCTTTCTCAGGGCATCCAGAACTGTAAGTCACCTTGTTACCCTTCTGTCTCAGCAAGAGATTTATTGGTGCTATACTGTGTGACAGCTTCCTGCCACCCCTGTCTGCTAGCTAGCCAAACAGACTCCTCAGGACTCTGCCACTCCAAACTTTGCCTTGCAGGCTAACTCTTGGTGTACTTCAGTTCCTGAATCCCCTGGAAGAGTGTTCCTCTGCAGCATCCAGGCTTTGTCACTATATGCCCACAGAAATACCAAGTCCACTGTCTCCAAAGAGACAGAATACACACCAGGCTATTAGCTCAACTGAGGATGCACACCTTACTTTAGTATAATAGCACTGAGATGAATTTATAATAAAACAAGAATAAGTGATACTAAGCAGATAATAGAAATAGAAAATGGTTACAAATAAACAAAAGAATAACATGCTTCTAAAAGTCTGCCTATAACCATAGCAGGCTCAAAGCTTTGTTCTCACCTACAATTGCTTTTCAGCATCACCAACCCACATAGTGGGGGATCCACCCTTCATAGTTGCAAAGAGCGCTGACCTCTTTGTTCCCTCAGTGATGGATCACAAGATGCCCTTTTGCTTTTCCTTATATTCCCCAATGTTAATTGTCTTTGTCTCAAGAATCAGGATGACACCCTGGGGTTCAGACTGCGGTCTCTTCCTGTGTGCTAACACCATGCTTTTCCTCATCCTCCTGATAACTGGTGTTTACTGCAGATACAAATAAATTGCCCATTGTCTGTGGCATCCCCATGCTCAGTTTACATTATAGACAGGCAAATCAATATTCTTCTTCGAGTGATGGTCCCTATCTGTATTCCACATGTTGGGTGCTCATGTGCCTGAGTCCAGAAGTATTTTTTAGCAGTGTCCCTTGACCCGCAAATGCATGGTGTGTCCCCTCATGCTCTCAGTCAAGTATATAATCGGTAATGCAGGTCAACGCCTCTCCAGTTCCCTCTTACCGTCGCATGGCCTGAGTCAGAACCACTGTTCCTTTGTGCCCTTAGTTTTGCTAAGTCAGTGACCACTCCTCGTTCAGTGTATATAGTTGTACATAGTTGTATATTGTCATTTTAGTGATAGATAAGTTAGTGTAGTTTTTCCCCCGTTTTGGGGAACGTGTCCCATCCCATCCCCTCATCTCCCCCCAGGACTATACCCTGGATTCTGGGATTTAAAAACTGTCTCCTGCCCACACTCATTCTATGTGAACTACAGGCCTCAGCAAGTAAAGTCCTGCAAGTCCTTCCCTCCCCGAACCCAGAAACTCAAAGCTTTGACTCCGTAAGTAGTTGATGGAGGAAGCCATGGGACAGAGGGCGTACTTGGATCTGGGACCAGCGGAACCCCTGGTACAGCAATTGTCACTGGTGGTGAGCGCCCCTCTGAGCACCTCGCATGCCCTGGATCCATCGGTGCTGAAGACAAAGAATAAGTCCCGACATGAGAGTAAAAAACACTCTCACGGGCATAAGAGCATATCCCTGTCGTGGACTCCTCCTAAGTGCAGCATTTCCTCCTCAAGCCAGGCCAAGTCAGGTGAGATGTTGTGCGCAGATCCATCCAGACCAGCGCCCAAGCTTCTCCACGTGGAGGGTACGGCCAGGTGCAAAGAAGATCCAACAGTACTGATTACTGCCCTGGTATCCACGCATCCAAAACACTCACCGGCACGTGCACTGCCCGTCCTACCGGTGCCTCTGTGCCTCCCAGATAGGCCAGCCCCGCAGATGCTGCCTGGGATCTCTGGCATTTCCAGAGGCACACCACAGACTCCTGGACATCTGAGCCTTTCTTTTCGATGGAGGAGCTGATCCTTCAATCTCCACAATCTCCACTCCTCTCCGGACCCCCCACTCCAGAGGACAAAGCTCTACTGCTGCTGCCAGAGAAGCCTGTCCCATTGCTGCATTGCAGCCCTCCGGAACCGTCTTCGGAGTCCGAGGAGTTCTCTGAGAAGAACCCTTGTTTTCTCCGATGTCCTGCTGAAGTCCAGACTTGCGGCCCAGGCTGCCTTATCCCCCAGCATATGATCCATCAGCAGAGGCCTGTACTGCTACCCGTGGGGCCCACCACATCCCAGGGACCCTTCTTTCTGACCATAATGGGCACCCGTGGATGCAAGGCACCATCACAGGCATCTTATCGACCATCCCCCATTCGCCCAATGACACTATCTGTCTATGAGGAAGAGGCAGACATTAACCGTTACCGCCAGCTCTGCCGGTCCCCACTGTTGCTTCATCATTGCTGGACGAGGTGCTTATTCCTCTCTCACTCTCGAGGCCGGATGACCATCACCAGTACCAGGACTTGCTCCAGAGGGTAGCAGCAGACTTGGGTATTCCATTGGAAGAGGTCCAGGACCCACATCAGCTCCTGGACATTCTCCAACCCCGATGTGCACAGTACTTATAAGTGATGCAATAAATATTTTACTAGCTAAATGAATTAACAAAACCCTTGAAGACCCAACTACCTTGATAGTAAATCTCTACTAAGTAAATGTGAAAGGCAAGGAAGCTAGGACTGTTAACAGAAAATTTGTTCTTGGCACTGGGATGGTTACTCTAATAGACATATCACTGCGAGAATTTCTTTTTAATCTGCTTAATCACACTTCCCAGTGGAAAGCGAAAACTGCTTTTCTTTCCTTTCCCTTTCTTGTTTGAATTCCATTGCATCTGACCCTTTTCCCTGGACAAGTTAAGAATGAGGTAAAATAAAAGGCTCATTAATCAACCGTACCAATAATAGCAAATTAAGAAGGCTTGTAAAGGGGCCCTCTCAACCCATTAATGAGGCCATTCTTCAACAGGCACGGGCAATATGGCACACTCCTGCCTCCTGTGCTGCCACACCGAAGAGGGCAGCGAGGAGATATTTCATGCCTGCTAAAGGGGCAGTGTCATCCTTCCCCCCTCTTCTTCCCCCCTTTCCTCCCCGCTTTCGTCCATTCAGCAATAGAGCGGCCACGCTAGCACCCACAGAAGTCTGCTCCCCCAGATAGGGAGGAAAAGAGGAGGGACCTAGGCAGGAAAGTGTATTCCTCAGCAGGACTACAGTTACGGATTGCAAACTACCAGGCGCTGCTATGACTTAATAACTACAACAAGCTAATAGAGTTCAAGGACAAGCTCCCACCAGACCAACAGCAGCAGTTCCAGGTGCTGGTAGACCAGGGGTGACTGATGGCCAAGGTGGGCCTTCAGGCTGTCTGTAGACATGGCTGACATGTCCTCTTGCTCTCTAGTGACCGGGGTCATTATGCACCAGGACTTGTGGCTACAATCGTCTGGCTTTTCCAGGGAGGTCCAAAATACAGTTGAGGACCTCCCCTTTGAGCAAGTTGTTCCATGAGAAGATGGATGAATCCCTTCATGTGCTGAAGGACTCTACGGCCACACTACAGTCCCTTGGTATATACACCCCGGCCCTGAGACACAAGCAGCAGAAACAACCATTCTGTCTGTGACCATATACTCCTTACCTGGCCTACTACCAATGCCAGCAGGACGTGCCACTTAAGTGGCACCGCTTGCAACAGCCACGCTTCCCTGCCTCCGCCACAACCAATTCTTTGACCCTTTCCCAGCAGCAGCCAAAACCTCAGTTTTGACTTGCATGTCGATCCCTTAACCTTCCCCGATGCCACTGCAGTGCCTCATATCATCTATGGGGGCCATCTTGCCCTATTTCCCCACAATTGGGACAAGATCACCATGGACATTTGGGTACTGGAGAACATCCACCATGGATACTCCATAGAATTCCTCTCATTCCCACCTCCTTGATTCCTCCTTCCCCTGGACTTCTCCTGGGGATCCATCCCATCAATGCATTCTCCAAAAAGAAGAGAAAATCTGCATCTGGAGAGGGCCATAGAGCCTGTCCCACCTCAATGCAAGGGAAAAGGCTTCTACTTACCATACTTCCTCGTCCTGAAGAAGGGTGCCGTGTGCCATCCCATTCTAGATCTTCAAGTGCTAAATACCTTTTTCAGAAAATCCAAATTCTGCATGGTAGCGCTGGCTTAGATTATTTCTTCCCTCCCCCAAGGAGCCTGGTTCACAGCTCTCAACATGGACACTTACTTCAATGTAGATATTCACCCGCCCCACTGCAAGTTTCTCCATTTTTGGGTAGGACACCAACACTACCAGTTTCAGGTCCTCTTAGGGTGACCAGATGTCCTGATTTTATAGGGACAGTCACGATTTTTGGGTCTTTTCCTTACATAGGCTCCTATTATCCCCCACCCCCGTCCCGATATTTCACATTTGCTGTCTGGTCACCCTAGGTCCTCTCGTTTGGTATAGCGACAGCTCCAAGAGTGTTCACAAGTGTCTTCACTGTGGTAGCAGTCCAAATGCACCGCCTCTGCTGCTCAGTATACCCCTACCTTAACAACTGGCTCCTTGTGGTGCTTATCGTGCCAGGAAGTAGCTGCCGCGATCCTCACCCTTCGCATGCTATTGGCATCTCTAGGTATTTGTATCAACAAGGAAAAGTCAGTATTGATACCTACACAGATGATACTTTCTCAGAGCACGTCTTGACTCCATCACAGCGAGAGGTTTCCTCATGGTGGACTACTTCGCAATACTTATGTCCATCATCGTGGACCTGCATCATAGACCTCACACCACGGTCCGCCTCTCTCTCTCTCTTCTCCCCCTTCCCCCTCCTTGGCCATGTGTTGCCTCCTTTCCATCTACAGAAGCAGCACAGACCATATGCTGGTCATAATCATAGTTCCCCGGACCATGGTAGCGTCACTCATGTGGTGGGCCAATCCTCCCAAGATGATGATCAGCACCCCCTTCACCCTTTCCATATCACAGGTCACCATCACAACAGATGCCTCCCTCACGGGTTGGGAAGCCCACCTGGAGCACCACATGGCCTATGGAGTGTGGATGCCACGGGAGGGCAGGATTTATATAAACGTGCTAGAGCTCCATGCAGTCTGTTCAGTGTGTCAGGCCTTTCTCCTGCTCATTCAGCCCCTCCACATTCAACTACTCTCAAACAACATTGCAGCAGTGGTGTACGTAAACAAGCGGGGCGGCGCCAGGTCTTCCTCCCTCTGCCCCGAGCCCATCCGCCTTTGTAACTGGTGCATCAAAAACAACGTAATGCTTCAAGCCACATACCTCCTAGGCACCCAGAATTCCCTGGCCGATGCGCTCAACAGGACTCTCTACTTCAATCACGAGTGAGAGCTACATGACGCCACACTACAGTACCTCTTGGAGAACCAGGGCACCCCTCAGTGGGACCTATTTGCCACCCTGAAGAACCAGAAGCTGCCCCTCTGTTGCTCCGTAGTAGAAATAGGGAAGAATTTGCAGGGCGATGCTCTCCTCCTCCCCTGGAAGACCACCTCTGTTACTCCTTTCCTCCCATTCCCCTCCTGCTGCAAGTTCTACGCAAGATTTGTTGAGACAGAGCCACTGTGATGCTCGTAGCCCCATTCTGGCTCTGTCAGTTCTGGTTCACAGATCTCCTCAGATTCTCCACCTGAATGCCGCTCTGCCTTCACACTCTCCCGGATCTAGTCTCATAAGATCGGGAGAATCCGGCATCCCAATCCCGGCCCTCTTCACCTCACAGCTTGGTATTTGGATGAGGGTCGAGGGTAGACCAGGCATGCTCCACCTCAGTGTGGCAAATCTTTACCCAGAGCGCCGGAGAGAATCCACCAGGGCATGCTACTGAGCAAAATGTAGATGCTTCACAGTATGAGCTCAATGTGACGGTCACTCACTGAGTGTGGTATCTGTACCAGTCGACCTAGACTACCTTCTCGCCCTCAAATGTCCGGCCTAGTCATCAACTCTGTAGGGCTGCACCTGGCAGCAATCAATTTCTCTCCCCCCGGACTGCACCTCAGTGTTTACGTACCCCACCACTGTCCACTTCATTAAGGCTTTACTTAACACTTTTCCACCAGTTCTGAAGCCCACACCCCCATGGGACCTTAATCTCATCTTCTCTGCCCTCCCAAAGCCACCCTTTGAACCACTGGCAACATGTTTACTCTCCCACCTTTTGATGAAAGTGACATTCATGGTAGCCAGAACCTCAGCCACGCAGGTCAGTGAACTCGGAGCCATGATGACAGATCACCCTCCCTCTCACCCTATATTCCACAAGGACAAGGTGTCCCTATGGCTCCACCCTAAATTCCTCCCAAAGGTAGTGTTGGAATTCCACCTAAACCAGTGCATCCACCTATCTGTTTTCTACCCCAAACCGCACACCTCCCCCACTAACAGGGTCCTACAATCCCTTGATGTCTGCTATGCACTGGCTTTCTAACTTCACAGGACTCAATTCTTTTTGCACATCGCTGAACAGTTCAAGGGTCAAGCCCTCTCCTCCAAACCAGTCTCCAAATGGGTCTCAGGGAGCATCTGTGAATGCTGCAAACAATCTGGCGCCTGATGGAGTCACAGCTCACTCGACATGAGTGCAAGCCACCACATCGGCTTCACTGGCGGATGTGTCCTGGCAAGACCTAAGTCGTGCAGCCATCTGGCACTCTGTCCACACGTTCACAACACAATACACTATTGCACAAGCGATAGCGGGCTAGGCTGTAATGCAGACCACGCTTCCATTGACATCCTCACACCCACCTCTGTACTGATCACTGCTCGCGAGTTACCCACGTGTGGAATACGCATAGGGACCATCACTCGAAGAAGAGAGGTTACTTGCCTGTAACTTCTTCAAGTGGTCCTTATCTGTATTCCACTACCCGCTCTTTCTCCCCTCTGCTTCGGACTACATTCCAAGACGGTAAGAGGGAGACTGGAGAGGCACTACCTATTATACCCTCGGCTGGGAGCATGAGGGGATGCACCATACAGGTGCTGGTCAGTGGATACTGCTAAGAAACACTTCAGGATTCAGGTGCATGGCACACCTGCCTACCTACATGTGCAATACAGATAGGGACCACACATCTCGAAGAACCTCCAGTTACAGACCAGTAACTTCCTCTGCCTTTGTCTAGGACAATTTGTTTATCAAGTCTGCCCCCAAAACATTTTAGGATTTTATTTCCAGCACACGACTCTTTACGCACCATCTGTACAAACATCACAGTGAGATTATTGGCTACCATGTCACCAGCTCTCATTTGATACTACACACGACACTCTTTACAGATAAATACTATGATAATAACGTATAAAGTGCCAGACCTGATGGGAGTTTACAGACGAGTGGGCCCTCTACCAGGTGGTATTGAGGGGCTCTTACATTATAAATGTAACCAGCTTGCCTGTGTTTAACATCAGACATTTTACTGAATTAAATGTGAACATTATCCAGCAATATTGTGGTATGAATGATTGATTGTGAGGCCTACAGTACTGGCTTTTCATTTACACTTCACCAGTTGATGCACTTATTTTTAAATAGCTTTCAAAATGCTAGTTCATCCTATAACTTTAAAAATACTGTACTGTAGAGGTTAGTGAATGTTTCATTTCACTCAGTCATTTTATTTCTATTTCTAAGGGATGAAAGTCCACTGAAATCAAGTTTCCTACAGAACATGATAGAAGACAGAACAGAATCTGCCTTATCATACTATGAGTTCCTCTTGCATATACAGCAGCAAGTGAATAAATGAACCACTGGGTTGTATGGCTCGCTTGCTTAACGAAAATTTCTGCAGTAAAGAACACTTGTGCTTGTAATATCTTTTGTTAAGTTTGTGGCCTGGTGCAGTCGATGAGAAGTTCTCACTGTGATTTCAACAAAGTAAAGCAAATAAAGGACCACAACTGAGAATCATATGTGCAACTACATAATATTGTACTTTTAAAATCAAAATATATTTGAAGAGGTTGGGGATCTTTAATTTGCTGCAAATTATGCTTTTACTGTAAGCAGTTGCAGCATGAAGTACATTTGCAAAGGCAATATTGAAGGGGTGAAATACATTTTGTAAAATGGAGTTCTTTGTTCAAAATGTATATTTCTGTAACTTTTAGTTTTGCTTTTTTGGGGGGAGAGGGGAGGGTTGCTGCTAGATTTAAAACCTCAATATGATTGAGTTGCAGGGAAATTATATTGTCTTATGATACAGTATATCCACTGATTAAAGATTGAACATTTCTTTTAAAAAAGAGAGCTACCTGGTACACTTAAAGTAGCAATGAAACAACTCATTGTGAAATGAACAAATGTTTGAAAAAAAAAATTATGAAAATTTTAGAATGTAACGTTCTAGAAATGGTTATGTTGGATAGGTCTAAAGGTAGCTTAAACTGGCCTAGCTGGATTGAGATAGACTGAAGTAATTTGTTAAAAAGCTTTTAAATGCATCAATATTCTTGTACCTAAACTGAAAGACAAAGTTGGCATAGCATACTGTGTAAACTGAAAACTATAATCAAGTGGTCTGGCAGCAAAAATGGGCTAAGACTGACACTGAGCCTTGTGTTTGTAGTTAAAAATAATGAGTTGGTCTTGTCTTAATAGTTCATTAAATGGCAGGAAAGTGGGGGAAAAGAAGGCAAAGCATAAAACCACCTGATCCTTTCTGTGCGTTACATTAGATTTCTGCTCTAATATAGGTTAACTAAATGTTAGGTCCATAAAATGATTGTTTTGTGAAATGAGGCTGTGGTAGCATTTCATCCTTAATTTATCAATATATTTTTGAGACAGCACTGAATATTTTGTTTGACATCTAAAACTGAATCCAAGCAGACGTAATAATTTTGCTCTTGAAATAAATGGAAAAAAACATATTGGTAGGAAGTGTTTTATAGTTCAATGAATATATTTAAAGTTCTCAGAAATCTTTTTTTTTTTATTGAAGCTATGTAACAAGCCTAATTCCAGGACATGTGTGCACACAATATACATGTTTTAATTTAACTGACAGACCTGCAAGTGCTACAAATGAAACATGGAAATTGGATTTATAGAAAGCTGGTATTCTTAAATGTAAGATGTGTAAAGTACATGGGAATTAAAGTACATTGGTTGGGGAGCAATCTGTAGATGACAGGCTGTTTCTCTTTATGTTGCTAGTCAATTTCTGCCCCTTATATGCCCATGGAAGAACTGTGATGTGGAAAAATTGTTTTATACTTTAATTTGCTTTTAGTTCATATTAATGCTCATACACTTATAGCAGACTTGCAAAAATCTCCTTGTTGGGGTCAAGTACTTTTCATTGATGAGTGAAATGTTTACTATAAAGATAGGCAAGTAGATATTGTGCCTAAGCTAGTAAACTTGTGAAGGTTTTGCAAAGAGGATTTAACAGGATCTGGTAGGATCACAGTTTCTGCAGCCATTCGTCTGCTTCTGCTCCAGTTACAGTGTAATTGACTGACAGGAGTTACCTCAATGCAGGGGAGAAGCAGCTGTTTCTTCATAGAAACATCTTGTGCAATTTGAGCACAAAAAAGCCACTATCGTTTGTGCTGATTTTTGTGGTGATTTCAAAAGAGCATTTTGGAACAGATTTACTTCTCCCAAAGATTATTTAAACACCCTGCCTGCTGTGTCTACATGACTAGTGGAAATGTATTTCCCAAAAGTTTTTTATAAGATTGTGCATTATCTTCAGTCAATGTGAAAATATATAGTAAGTACATAGGGGAAAATTATGTTTTAAAATTTACTCGATTACTTTATTTCTGGCTTCACTCACATTTAAATCCTAAATTTTTTATTTCTTAAATGAGAATCAGTCATTCAGACAACCACAGTTTTATTAAGTGGTACCTCACTCCAGGCACGTGATGATAAAATGTATCCACTAGGATGTTGGAAATCATCCATGCATCTCACAACAGACCCAAAGCCTTTGGTTTTTCGTACTATTACCACATACTTTGTCATTATATTCCATAAACTTACATTTTTAAATATGTCTGTTTCAGAGAGAGTGTCACTTGCTTTATGTAAACCAGGATAACAGTTATGAATGTCAGTCTACATGCCAATACAGTAATTAACAACATTTCAAGTTAGGATCCCTAATATTTTTCTCTGTGAAACTTATGAACGAGCGAGCAAATGAACCCATTTGAAGTAGAATGCTTTTGGAATGTCCATATTGTATTTAAGAAATAATCTGCAATATTGAATGTGTAGTTTAATTCCATGCAGGGGGGGACAAAACATGCTGCTTCAATTTGTATTACTCTTACATCATTGCAGAGCATACCGGTGTGTAAACTGCCTATGCCACACTTCTCACTGTATTACAAATGTCAAGAATAACTTGTTTATTTTAAGATCTTAAACAGGCAAGGGTGGTCCTGGTTGTTCTGTCTTAGTGTGACAACCCTACCACAGCACATATACTCTATTTTTCTAGTTTCTGAGGTTTAACTATTTGTTTGACACATTAATGTTAATTCAGTCAACATCAGTACCATCCATTTTAATTTGTATACATTATCTTTTATAATTTAATATATTTGAGTCTCAGTCTAAATAGACTATTTTGCAATAACTAGAATAAGATTTACATTTCTTTTATTCAGAGTTAATTTCTTAACAATTTATAATCAAAGATGCAGAATGGCTGTTATATAAGGGACCATCAAATGTGATTTTAAGCTTTTTGTTCACTATTAGGGATGTAATCCTTATAAATTTAATTTTGTAAAGTAGTGTATAATATTGTAATATTAAATCCTTGTTTTTCTGAAACTCAGACACAGATCTTCAGCATGAAGTTATAAATCTTGCCCCTTCTGAATCTGAGACAGGATTTACTTGTCCTCCTTTTTACAGTTTGTAATTTTCACTGTTTTATTCCTGTAAAAAGTCATTTGTAACACATGCAAATGCTTATTTTATCTGTGCTAATTTAAAAGATTTGGCTACTCAATAAAACTAATTGAAAGTGCTCACAAAAGTTCATCAGTCCTTTAATTAATAAACAGAAGTGGGATTCCATATTTGACCAATCACTGGGTGACATTTTTTCCCATTGGTTGCATTAGTAACTTCAGTAACAGTAATTGCATAGCTAAAGGAAAAAATTGTAACTTGCTAAAATTGTCAATCTGTAAATGGTACAAAGATTGGGGGATTTCATAGTTCAGGAGAAAAAGATGGAAGCATTTCTGTTATGTAATTGCGATCACTGGCAAAATTCCACTTTGTTACTGCACAATATTTATAATAAACTTCAAACAAGGAAAAATCAGATGTACTGGCTTTTGCACCGAGGCATTTGATGACTGTCACTGTACATTTTTTTCTTAGGGTAAAGCAAGTGTTTTGGGGACATAATTAGTAGCTCCATCTCCAGTGTGCAGCATGGTGGCAGAAAAACTTAAGTATTGACAAATGCAAAGATAACATACATAGGAAGGGATAAATGTAACTACTCATACACACAGCTGAGTTCTTAGTTACTTGTAACTATTCAGAAAAAATAGTTGGAAGTACTGGACAACTCAATTCACTTTGAATTGAGCAGCTGTTTCCACTTTTAGGATGTATAAAGAACAGGGTAGAAAGTAACATTGAAAATAAGCCATTATATAAATAAAGGTATTCTCACCTGGAATGCTGTATTCAAATGTGGTCAGGCTATTGAGAAAAAAATAGCACAAATAGAACAATCACAGCTGTTGCGTGGTAGAGAAGAAGGTAAATGGGACACTACTGATCCTCCTGTCTCATAATACAAGAAAAAGGAACACTCAGTGTGAAAGGCAACAGATTTAAAAGTAACGAAAGGAAATAATTACAACCGACAAAGGAGTAGGAAAAAAAGTTGCCTATAGGCTGGTCTATTCCATAATCTACTACATCTTCCTCTGAAGCATCTGGTACTGGTCACTGTCTGAGAGAAGATACTGGAGTAAATAGATGGTTGATCTGGTATGGGAATTGCTACGTTTCAGAATGGTCAGGACCTGTATTTTACTCCTATCTGCTGCACAAAACCTTTAGCAGCACATGGATCTCTTAATACCAGATTAGGGCATTAGTTGAAGGAAAGATTCTCATCTTCTTGAGCATTAACATGAGGTTAAAACAGTATTTCAGCTAGGCATTTACTAGAGATGGGACTGCACTGTGAAGTTTAGATGTGAATTTTCCTAAAGTTCTGGGGAGTTGAGAGAGGTTTGCAATTCAGGCCCATCTCTAGTGAGTTAGCTGCATGAGTTTTCAGGCCCATCTCCACGTGTATGTGTGTTAGTTGCGTGAGTTTTGAACTAGGACGAGTACTGTGTAAATACTATGGTCTAGTTAGCCTTGCTTTGGGGTTAAAAGTAGGGTGGATTTTAAGCCCTTTCCTGGGACTTGGTCATATTTAACGTTCCCACTGCTTTTTGCAAACATAGGAAATTGCCACAGCAATAAGATACAATCTTTCAAAAGCGATACTGAACATCTGTGGTGGAACTAAAGATCCCACGGCACTTTGAGAAGAGCTGTAACTCTGGAATTCTTGTCCGCATTTTTCTCCTCTAAGAGCTGTTTTCTAAGTACTCAGCCTTTTGAGGTTGTCTGTATGAACACCAGCAGTGCAGTAACTGTATACAAACTCACTCTCTTGCAATATACTTTGGGACACCTGGCTATACAATAGTTTACCAGACTAGATTTTACTACTATTTAAAAAGTTCATTTTGCCATCTCTCTAATGAACAGCACCTCATTCTCCTTCCTACAGGGGGTACTTAGGAAAAACTCATTTCTGAATATGAAGGTACGATGGGGAAGTACATTAACAGATAAAAATTATCAATTGCTGTAGCTATTATCCGTAGAAAACTTGACCCAAAAATGGGCATTTCAGTGTCGGGCACATGAGGCAGTAAATGGATTTCTGTGGAAAGTGTTTGATTAAACTTGACCTAATGCTTTCAAATTAAATATTAGTATAGAGTTCCAGGAATGTTTAGTTTCTTTTACAGCTAAGAAGTTGTAGATTGTAGAAATTACCACTGCACTCTAATGAATGTAGGCCAATATATAATATCCTTTGATTTCTACGTTGGCATTAAAATTGAATGGCAGCAAAGTAACTTATGAGTTTGTGTTTAGTTCACGAAGAGAAAACAGCTGAGTACAATATCTTGTATAGGGAATGGCAAAGCTTTATCAAGTCTTAAATGCCTCACTGGTCTGTGAAGAGAACAGTGTGGTGTGGTGGTAATTGTATAGACAAACATCCAAGAGCAATACTGTTCAGAACACTAAATTCTGCAGGTTTAGGATTTTGTATGATCAACATTTAATTTCCAGCAGCATTCTCATTCTAACTCTGGATTTTAAGCGTTTTTTTTCTGGCCAGAAATACCTAAGATACTTATCAAGGTCATTTGCTCTAGGACTGCACATAGCTGTCTTCTGGATATCTATGCACAAGTACGTAAAAGACCATTTTTCTTTGTATGCCATCTTTACACTTTATTGCTATAAATAGATGTTCTTCTCTGAATGTGCATTCTAAAGTCAGATGTAAGATTCCCATAGTCATGTTTTAGTGGGATGCAAATATTTCTACTCGGTGGTGAAGTTAGAAATGAACCCTTGGGAGAACTATACTCCATTATGGAAGTCTCAACCACACTTTAACGGAAGTTAAATTGAAATGTTGTCTCAAATGTAAGCTGTGGTACATACGATATTTTCCTTATTTAAGTTTAATATTCCTTTAAAAATACATTGTTCAGAACACTGTAAAATAGTAGCTTGCCTTTTACTGCCAAAGGATCTAAAAGTGCTTCATGATCTAAACAACTGATAATATATCTGCATGAAACAGCAATTGTTCAACAGTAGCCATGTGCAAGAGTTTAGGGTAGTAAATCCAAACAAACGCTTGCCTCAGTTGAATCTACAGGAGAATATTAAACCATGTGGAATTACCTAAATTGGCATTTTGCCATTTAGTACCTCTACTCCTACACAAAGGTTCCTGGGCTACAATCAGCCCTTTATGGTTGGATGCTGAGAATATAGTGAGGTGTATTAACAAAAGAAAGCTATGAATCAGAGAGACTTGCTTTTTTCAGTCATTTTCCAGCCCCGGGCAGTAAATTTCGCATACCCTGAAGGACAGAGGTGAGTACACAGAGTGACAGATTGGGGAAGGATTGACTTTCGGTTTTTGTAACAATGAGCCTTGTCTGAGGATTTCCCCTGTGCAAGTCAATTCTGTATTTGTCATCATAGTGATAGTCATTTGCTATTGCTTCTGGAGCCTCAAACGTTAAGGATGGGGGTGCGTGAGAGATTCCTTTTGTAGAGAATTGGTGCTCAGATGAGAGAGCTGCCCTGTGTCTGATGAGGGGAGCGGGACCAGACACAGCTAACTGCCCTGTATCTGATGGGGGGCAAGGGGGGGATGGGACCAGGCCCAGCTAGCTGCCCTGTGTCTGATGGGAGTGGGGTGGGGGGGAGATTAGGCACAGCCAACTGCCCTGTGTCTGATTGGGGGGGGGGGGGGAGAGGAAGCAGTGGGCTAGGGCAGCTAGCTATGCCTGGTGTCTGATGGGGGTAGGGTGACCAGATGTCCTGATTTTATAGGGACAGTCCTGATTTTGGGGGCTTTTTCTTATATAGGCACCTATTACCCCCCACCTCTGTCCCGATTTTTCACATTTGCTGTCTGGTCATCCTAGATGGGTGGGGCGAGCACAGGTAGCTGCCCTGTGTTGGGGGGGTGGTGTGAAGAGGGCACAGCTAGCTGCCCTGTGTCTGATGGGGGGGGGGAGTGAGCACAGCTAGCTGCCCTGTGTCTGATGGGGGAGAGTGAGTACAGCTAGCTGCCCTGTGCCTGAGGCGGGGGGGGAGCTCTAGGGTTGCCACCTCTGAGGCACACAAACCGGGCCGTCGCGATGACTTGGCACCGGCAGCGGGGCAGACACTTCAGCCCCGGGACAATCCTGGGAGCCTTTGGCCCGGCGCCAACGCCAGGCAGCTCTGACTTCACCCTCTCGCGCGCCCCGCCGCGCTAGGCAAAGCGCTGGGGCAGGCCCTGCGTGCGGGTCGCGCGGCCAGGTTGTTGGATCGCCGACCGGGGCGCGACGGGCCTGTGGACTGAAGGCGCCTATCCTCCCGGCCGGTGGGGGGCGTTCGCGGCGTCTGCCCCCTCTGCTGTGCCGCCGCCTCCTCGGTAGGGCGCCCGCCGGGACCCTTCCCCCCGGGGAGCCGTTTCCTCCGCGGCAGGCAGGTGGTTGCTCTGACTCTAATCACACCGGGCCCTCCCCTCAGCCGCGTGGTGCACCCGGGCCTGTCACCTAGCTGGCGAGCGCTGCTGCGACACGCCTCCCCTCACACTCCTTCTTTGTGTGGTAATCCCGAGGCCGGAGCCGCCATCTTTACTGTGGGCATCAAGTCCGGTAAGGTGCGGGGGTTGGCGAGGTTTACCGGCGGGACGTCACTCCCAGTTCCTGTGGCCTCTGCCCTCATCCAAGATGGCGCTTATTGCTTCAGCAGTTGGAGGTGGTTCTAGGATGGCGGCGGGGGTTACGCCTGCGCATTAGGCGTGAGGGAGGTGGAAAGGTCTGGCAGGCCCCATTGTTTTCTGGGGGGCGGAGCCGCTTGTGCTGTTTCTGCTGCGGATGGAGCCGGAGGCGCTGGCCGGGGTGGATGGCGGGTCTGCTCCTGGCCCCATGGGGGTCCCCCCAGTGCTCTCAGTGTCGCAGCGCCGGGCCGAGCTCCGGCGGAGGAAGCTGCTGCTGAACTCGGAGGAGAGGATCAACCGCATCATGGGCTTCCACCGGCCGGGCGGGCTGAAGGGTAAGAGGCGGGGAGGCATTGGGGGGGCGAAGGTGGGGGCCGGGTGTCGCTCAGCCCTAGCCCGACGGGAGGCCAACGGTGAGGGGCTGTGGCCTCCACGAAGACACTGAGGAAGGGGCTGGGGCGGGCAAGAGGGAGAGGCTGCTGGGGAGGACCCTGCCACTGAAGGGAGCCAGTCTGGGCTGGAGATTGCTGGGGATACTCCTCCCATTACAAAAACGGGCAGGGGGAGATAGGGCCAGCATAGGTTGGAGGCTGTGGCTAGCCCCTCAGCTTTTGGGCTATATGACACACAACAGCCATGCTCTTGTTACCTTGCTTCTAGGTAAGGTGAGGGGCTCCGGGGATGTATAGTGATGGCATCTTTCTCCTCTCCGGGAGCAGGGAAAACACTCTTCCCCACCAAGATGGGTGGGGGCATGACTGTGCTATCGGTGATGGGGTTTTTTTGTGGCAGTTACATCCTCACTCCTCTTCTGCCTATGCTTTGACGTGATACTAGCTAACTCGCACCCGTAAATACAGATTGGAGGAGTCCACTTTGCTGTGCAGAAACACACCTCAGCGCAGCAGACAAATGCCTGTGTGATTTCCCTCAGTGGGTGAGGGATGGTATCTGGAGATCTTTTCACTGACCTCAGCATTTTCTGCTCTCTGTAAAATAGTTTAGGTGACTTCTGCACACTCCAGTTTACTGTGTTGTTGAGATTTGCTGCTTGTGGCCATATTCTTTTCTTCCGTGTTTCATATATTTGGAATCACGTTAAACTTCTGTTCAGGGCCCTTTAGTGTATTAGGGTTATTATTATCTATAAAGCACCATAGATGTATATAGCTCTGTATACACATAAAATAAGGTGTGTGTGTGTCCTCCTCCTGCCCCCTAAAAATAATTTACAATTTAAGGGTCTGATCCTGCAAGGACTCTACACACACAATTGCCATTGACTTCAATGGAATTTTCTGCTTGTACAGGAGTAGGCAGGATTGTGTCCTGTTGTGCTGATTAGGGGGTTCCTTGGGCCCAGCAGAGGAATGCTAATAAAACTCTTCTTCACTGTTCACACTTAATCTGTTTAATGTTGTGTTTGGGGTTTTGTGTGAAATTATTGCTGGTTTACTCCCATTATAGTAGCCACCATCTCAATCTTTTTAATATTTTATTAAAGACACAGAAAAACAAAAACAGTTAGAGTGTTAGAAATGTAAATTGTAAGTAAGGCTTTCATTTTAACAATATTCTTTATTCCTTTTTCCTTTATAAGGAGTAACCCCTTCTTGACAGTTTTGCAGATGGCATTAAAGAAGGTAGCAGAGGTTGTACAGACAATTGAAGAATGCAGCCCAAGTGTCAGCACAGGCAGAGAGTACAGACCGCATGCATCTGACGAAGGGGGTGTTCACCCACGAAAGCTTATGCTCCAATACGTCTGTTGGTCTATAAGATGCCACAGGACTCTTTGTCGCTTTTTACAGTCCTTGTTTGGGACCTTTCCACCTGTTGTTTTGCCACCCCAGGACTTTAGCAGGAGCCTTGAAGAGCCCTTATTACAATTTGCTTCACTTAAACAATCCAGTTTGTATTTGTCTCCACTTTCATTAACCATTCTAATTAATAAGCTAAATTTTGATTATGAAAAATACTTCTCTTATAGTTTTTCTTTTTTTCTGGTTTAATACCCATGACTGGAATATCCTTTTATTGCATTTTCTCTTTCCCCACCAAATGAAAGGTCGTTGTCCTCATTTAGCACTCTGCAGCTCCACAATTGACTACATCTTGGCTTGTTTCCTTCCATACCTTCTAGGTTGCGTATGGTTCTTAATGCTCCTTCTGTCTGCTTCACTTACTCTGAATTCTATGCCTCTTTTACACTGCTCTCTTTGCTTGAAATAACCCCTTGCTTCCTGTGTTCCAGATGTCATTCTTCAAATCTCTCCTCACACCCAGTGCTTTTACTTGGGTTTTCATTGCGGAGTGACTGTGCTGTGCTGACACTTGGGCTGCATTCTTCAATTGTCTGTACAACATCCGCTACAGTTTTTATAAACTCTTTATTGCTGGGTTTTAATGTATATTTTGTATTTTGGAAAGTGTCATATGCACCTATGGAAGTCAGTATGGTGGTAGAGGGAAGTCATTGAGCTTCTTAGAGCCCATTGCAAATGTATATATAAAAAAATAAAAGGATGGATCTTATGAAGTCACTGTCAAGCTAACAGATTTTTGTCTTGATGCTGAAGCTGGCTTTATGCTATGCTTTTTATTGTTTTCCACCAGGAGACATGGTGTAATGGTCTGAGCATAGAAGCAGGAGTCAGGAACGCCTGAATTCTAATCCTAGCTCTAACACAGAGGTCTTCTATTGCTTAGGGCAAGTCACTTAACCACTGCCTCAGTTTCTCCATCTGTAAAATGGGACTGCTGATAGTCACTCATTTACTTCTCAGGGGGTTTAGGAAGATTAGTTAAATACTGTTTATAAAATGCTGTGAAGAAAAGCTTGAACGTATTTGTTATCAATAGTAAAGCTGTGGTTTCACAAAAATGATTTAATACATCAACCTGATGCCCAAAATCCAGCAGGCTGAGAGGCTGATCTAAATATTCAGTGAGAATAACATGCTTCATGTTTTGTTTCTCCTCTTCAGATGATGAAAGTCACACAGAATCAAAACTTCAACATGAGCAAGATAAATCGAACTCCCTCCCTATTCCTGCAGTTTCAAAGCGAATTGTGCTTGGTGATTCTGTCTGTAATTTGGCAGGAACATCTGACCACACAAGTGGCATTATAGAGCTCAAGGGAGATAAAAAGGACTTGTTCAGTAAAACTCCTGAGATTGGTAACGATGGTACCAGTGAGCTCCGGCATCGTAGCAGAGGGGATCTGGCATCAGAAGCTTCACAGAGAGCACCTCGACATGGATTAGATCAATACTTATCAAGATTTGATGAAGCTATGAAGCTAAGAAACCAGCTGATGAATGAGAAGCCTAGTCAAGAGAATGGGAATGCAGTGGAGGAATTTGATTCTTTTCGCATTTTTAGATTGGTGGGATGTGCGCTTCTTGCCATAGGAGTTAGGGCTTTTGTGTGCAAGTACTTGGTGAGTTAAGAAAAATATTTGTTGCTGCAAATCCCACATTAGTTCTCTTCTAGAGGTAACATGAAATTCATCATGGCCCTTGTCTGTAGTTGGTGACTAGATGAGTAGGGAACTTTTTCTCTTATATAAGCCCTGAGCAGTCATTACCTTCTTGAGGCAGGCAGTCATCTCAGAACCTGCACTGTCTGGGTAATGCAGCCACTAGGTAACAGTTGAGAGAAGTGCAAACTATAACCTCATCTCCTAGAGACTAAGAACATTAGCACCAGAATGCTTCAAGCATTTGTCTGTGTCTCCAGCTGGAATCTCATCTAGAAGTATGTAGCTAGCACAAAGTACCATCTTCTGAGTAATTGGGTTGACTTTAGACAGCATTGATGTTGTAACTGTGGCAACAATCTTTGGTAAGTCTGTAAGGCCTCCTATGTCTATCTCCTTTCAGGGTCAGGGCCTAAGAGAATTTATGCAGCTATTCCTCCTTAATGGTTAAATTTATCTATTTAGGCAACCAGTGTTCATAAAAATGGTTATTTTATTTTGCAGTGCAGTGACTGAAATTTTATTACACACAAATGGCATTTTCCTTGGAAGAATAAGTTAATGTGATTCCCCAATTATCCTTGTTTGTCTAACTAATTTTCATGTTTTCTCTTCAATCTTCACAGTCAATATTTGCACCATTTCTTACTCTACAACTTGCTTATATGGGACTGTCCAAATATTTTCCAAAGGTAAGATCAGTATTCAGAAAAGATTAATTTAAAATCTTTAAAACTGAGAATGGTTTAGCATGGGCTCAGCTAGTACAGAATGTACTTTTACAAACAGAATTAAGTGACTAATTGATGTATCAATATGGTCCCCTTTCATTTTAAGGTAGTGAAATGAAAGGCACCTATTATTGTGGATTAATGCACTAGCCTTTAAATTGTCAGGACCTTAATTCAAATCCTGTTAAACCCTCGAGTGAAAATGAGTTCTATTGTCTTGTTCTTGTGCCTTGTGAACATTTAGTCATACTACCATTGGAAGTATCTGGTCAAAAGAGGACTTTAGTTCTTCCTTTGTGTTATGAAGCATTTACCTTCCATCCATGCAGTACCATATATACTCGTTCATAAGCCAAATATTTTTGGTTAAAAAGTGATGCATCAAAGAGCGGGGGTCGGCTTATAAACGGGTCTACACCAAAATTTGATTATTTTAACCTCTATGGAATCATTTAATTGAATATCTAATACATTGTCATTTTGTTTACCTGGAGCGTCTGCAGGCATGGAGCCCCTCAGCTCCCTGTGGCCGCAGTTCGCCGTTCCCAGCCAATGGGAGCTGTGGGAA